TCGGTTACGGATCCAGACAGCTGTGCTGAAAAGCCACATGTGCACGATAAAACGCGATCAGTGAAAGGCGGGGCAACGTACATGCACTTGTGAGACATAGGGACGAGAATGAAGGAACATCCGGCCTGGATCTTCCTGTGCTTCTGATGGCACTGTTCGGCTACTGGCCGTAGCAATCTGCACGCACACAGAGAGAGAGAGAATAGCGAGAGAAAATCCGGTGCAGCAATGAAGAGAATGAAGGCAAATCGGCATGTGTGCCGCGCAGAAAAGCGTCCAACCCCGCAAGTTATTTCAAGAAAATAAGACTTTTATACTCGTGGATAGTTTTTTGAGCCAGAGGGCGGAAAATAGACAGAGTACCACTTGAGCAGTGCCGGTAGGGATACAGTAAGAGGTACGCCGGAATCAGTATTGACTGGCGACCCATGAGCCCAGCCATCAACAATGCTATCTATGGACTGTAGTCGACTGGTATACTTTCCAAGGTTATTAACAGGCAAACACCTTAGGTATGTACCTAGGGTAGGCAGGTACCTACTACTTAAGTAGGTAAGTACTTAAGTACCTAGTAGTTATTATGTCTCCGTTTTTGCTTCTTTTCCCTCCATCAATCAACTCCACACACAATACATCCGGTATCCTCTATTTTTGTTCTACATGCTTTTCTGACGAAACAGATTTTGAAGTTGGCCGTATGGCGCTGCGCAAAGAGCAACATGGCTTGCCATGCAGTGGATTTGGCACCAGTGTCATGGCTGCCCTGTCCATTTGGATGTCTTCAGTATCCACGGCTTGTGGTGGAATGACGTCGCAGCTCCACGCTGGGGCAGGAAAAGAGGGTCGGATATGGTTGCAAATGCAACTTGAAGGGCCGGAATTACACGCTCAACTGGCGCATTCTACACCGTCTGTGCATCTTGTCATCTGCGGAAGCCCTGGAGGCGCAAAGACTATTCGAACGTAACGAATTAACGAGCGAGAGAAGGAGATGATTCTCCCTCTAGGTTTCCCACCACACCGACATCCCGTCTTCTCGTCCAACGAATGGAATTTCCAGCAGTGGCAGCCAGGCACACCAGTGGCGCTTCTAGAAACCGCAAGCCATCAATTGATCTCGAAGAAGGCTTGACCCGGGTACAGAATTTGGCAGACACCTGCCACAGAAGGAGTAGAGTCAAATACTAGGCACTCCGCGAACGGTCAGCAAGTGTTGATGGTGGTGGTGTGTGGATAACAACCCTGGCCTCTGCCTCTCATATGCCTTGCACGGAGCACTCCAACATCTAAGTACATATGCAATACCTTCCTCGACCCTAAGCAGTTTAATGAGACGCAGTTGCACAACATAGGGGCCCCCAAGCTAGCCTTTACGCTTCTTATGCTGCACACCGGTGGTCGAACTTGTCCATGTCTCTCGGGTTCTCTGACTGTTCAATGTTGACCGGCTTATCTGACGAGGGCGGGCCAAATGGATTTGATGACGGCGAGCAGGGCCGGCCTCATGGGTTGATGGAACATCGTCATGGAGCCATGTGGAGAACCCCCGGTTTGACCAACATTGTAGTACAGAGTGCCAAACCTCCCCATCCTCGTCAACTTGTTGTTATGTGTCGAGTGTCTGATGTGTTGCGGAAAGCCCGACCAAGGTCCTTGTAACTACTTGCCAAGGCCATTTTTGTTTGTCGTTCGTTACCATGCTCGCGTCTGTGGTTCAGTCCGTGCCGCGTTCCCACATCCCGCTGGTATCTTGAGGGCCAATGCCACTTTATAAAGCACTTATGTCTCTCTCTCTCTCTCTCTCTCTCTATCACGCGCACACACACACACACACACACACACACATATGTTACTTCTTGGTTTACCCCTTCCTTTCATCCGCAACAACGGTTGTCCCATCCACCGCTTCCTACGCTGTGAAGTGAATGAGGGGATCGACAACAGGGTTCCAAGACTGTGAAAACAATACGGACAAGATCAAGGCTTATAATATTAGTATTGAACGCCTTCCACTCTCTTCTCTCGTCCGTCATGGTGAAGAAATTCTTTGGCCTCTCCGGCCAGGCCCTTAATTGGGCCATTGGAGCAATAGCAGGATGTGACTTCCTGCTTTTTGGTTATGGTAGGCGCTCTGTTTACTCTTTTCTCTTTTCTGTGCGCCCTGTGCGCCCTGTGCGTCTTAGTCGTGGCAACTCGTACCGAGCTGTGCGCTTGTGCGACATTGTAAGCACTGTGCTAATCATGATCTTTAGACCAAGGTGTTATGGGCGGCATTCTCACACTTCCCATCTTCCTTGAACAGTTCCCGGACATCAACGACACTGAAAATGGCTTGACAGACGCCGAAAAGTCCAATCGATCAACTTACCAAGGCATCGCTGTCGCCTCGTACAACCTGGGCTGTTTTATCGGTGCAGTCATCACCATCTTCATCGGCAATCCTCTTGGCCGCAGACGTATGATCTTCCTTGGTACCGCCATCATGGTTGTTGGAGCGGCTCTTCAAGCCTCTGCTTTCACTCTCGAGCATTTCATCATTGGACGCATCATCACTGGGTTGGGCAATGGTGGAAACACTTCCACCGTGCCCATGTGGCAATCCGAGACTTGCTCAGCTCACAAACGTGGCAAACTTGTCATGATTGAAGGTGCACTCATCACTGGAGGTATTATGATCTCATACTGGGTGGACCTTGGCTTGTCCTTTGCGCCCGGCTCTGTCGCTTGGCGTTTCCCCCTGGCCTTCCAGATTGTCTTCTGTATTTTCATTCTGGCATTTGTACTTGGCTTACCCGAATCTCCTCGGTGGCTCATCCTCAAAGGTCGCGATGCCGAGGCTCGAGAGGTCATTGCCGCTATTGCTGAGGTTGAAAACGACGACAAATATGTTGAGAACGAATTTCGCGCCATCAAGGACACTGTTGCAGAGATGAGCAAGGGTAGCTTCGCAGATTGCTTCGCTCGTGACAATAACCGCACGCTGCACCGCACCATTATCGCCTATGTCAATCAGATGTTCCAGCAGATTTCAGGTATCAACCTTATTACGTATTATGCTGCTACTATCTACCGTCGTCTTGGTATGAGTCCATTCTTATCTCGCCTCCTCGCTGCTTTAAACGGCACCGAGTACTTCATTGCATCGTGGCCGGCTGTGTTTCTCGTCGAACGCATTGGTCGTCGAAAGCTCATGTTGTTCGGTGCTGCTGGTCAGGCCGCCACCATGGCCATTCTTGCAGGTGTAGGCTCGCAGGAAAACAACCACGCTTGCCAAATTGCAGGTATCGTGTTTCTCTTTGTTTTCAACACTTTCTTTGCAGTTGGCTGGCTCGGCATGACTTGGTTATACCCGGCCGAGATTACTCCTCTACGTACCCGTGCCCCAGCCAACGCCTTGTCTACTTCTTCCAACTGGATCTTCAACTTCATGGTAAGAACGTATCGCTGCTTCAATACGATGCCAAGATATGCTAATATTTATAAATTAAAGGTTGTTATGATCACTCCTGTCGCCTTTACCAACATCAAGTACAACACTTACACCATCTTCGCCATCATCAATGCCATTATGGTTCCTTCCGTCTACTTCTTCTTCCCAGAAACTGCGTACCGATCTCTTGAAGAAATGGACATTATTTTCCAGAAAGTCAAGGGTTGGAGGGGTGCCTTTACCGTCGTACACCAAGCCGAAATCGAGCCACGGCGCTACGGTAAAAACGGAGAACTTCTCATCAGCATTAATGAGCCTGGCGAGAAGAACAACACGGAGCATCGCAACGGCAGTTCTAGTGAAACTAGCGCTGATATTAATAACAACATGTTTACCAACATCGACGAAGAAACACAACGCCGCCGGTCGTAAACGTCGCCGGTGTTGTAGCGATAGTCGTGGCTTAGCTGGAGCCAGGTTGGATTTCTGTTAATAGAAGAAGCGAATCAGAGCTGCATATCTCTTGAGGATTCTGTTTTTTTTTTGGTCCACTCAGAAATGAGCTCCATGATAAACTTCTTAAAAAGTACGCACTGCATCTTGGAAGAAATGTTTTTGATTTTGCCTATATACCCGACTGCGGAATGCTTCATATTGCAGACCCAGTTCATCACCGTACTGCATCAACAACCCAACCCAACCCTCCCCACCTTCTTGCATTGGGGATTGGATATTGAATGCGAAGAAGTTTCCAATTTTATTTCTTGTAAAAATGGAAGAGGGGATCTATTTCAGTGAATTAAACTAGCCAGAATAATTAGTTGCTCATTAGGCTGCCTTTCTATATTACCTCATCCAAATGGTGCAAAATTCACCGCGATACCCGATACATGCTATCCAAAGCGTTGAACAACGAAGTCTTCCTGTATAAAATCGGTTTCCGGGAAAGGGTGCTAAATTTCTTAATGCTTCATTGACCACCACAGCATGACCTGGCAAATGAAGTCGATGGCAATCATGTTGCAAATTCCCTTTCATCGACTACCTAGGCAAGTGCATCGCTTGGTCTCCATTCGCGCCTCCTAGACCATGCAATCAATCTACCCCGCCATGCATCCCCCACCTGGCCACCTTTCCCCTCCGCCCCTCCTGCGACAGCTTCTCCCTCGGATCAAGCAAACTAAAGCGTGCCATTTGACCACCCAGATCCTTCACTTCATCATCGTCTATTTCCGCATTGTGTTTGCAGCCCATCCACAGTGTACGTGAGAGCCCCTCGGTTGTATTTTCTACGCCTTGGCATCTTGCTAAAGCTTGACAAACAGAGGCGATACGCTCCCTTCCGCTAATCCCGGATATCTCTGTGCCCCGCCGGCCAACAGCTCTCTTCCTGGGTCAACTGCTTCTTGTGGCTGACGGGCTCGCTACTTGACCAGCCGTGTTGAACTTGAATAAGTCAAGTGCCTGCATAAGTCTACTATCTGGGCCTTTATTCGAACACTCTCGCTGCTCCTCGCTTCGAAAAACGAAAACAAAATCGATTTGCAAACGATATCGCGACTACTTTACAATGGTGGACAGACCAAACAAGCCGTCAGCTTTGGCTACCACTCCAGGTCTACCTCCCCAGCCGCAGGTGACCATCTCAGATGGTAGCTCCCGTGTCTCGGCTACTCTTTCCACGGGAGAGAGTGTTGAAGTCTTGCTCTTCGGCGCTACTGTCCTCAGCTGGAAGGATGCTGCGGGGAATGAGAAGTTGTGGTTGAGCAAGGATACGAAGCTAGATGGGTCTAAAGGCGTTCGCGGAGGTATTCCTTTGGTGTTTCCGGTATATCCCCTATTATCCAAGACCCAGCTTTTTTCTTTCTTTCTGCCTTGCGTAATCAAGCCTGTGCAAAGCAAGAGTCCTAGAAGATCTAACGCGCGACTCGTGGCTAGTTATTCGGGCCTGCAACCCCCAACCATGAAGCTACCTCAAAGCTGCCCCAGCATGGGCTTGCTAGAACTGCTCGATGGGAGTTTCTGGGGAAATCTACCAGTGAAGGCTCCAGTTCCAGCTCCAGCGTAAAGCTTGATTTTGGTCTCTCATCTGATTCTCTTGCCGAACATACCAAGGCTCTTTGGCCCTATAAGTTTGGTTTACTATACAGCGTTACCTTAGATCGGGAGAGCTTGACTACGACGCTTGTCATAACTAATGATGGCGAAGAGCCTTTTGATTGCCAAATGCTGCTACATACATATTTCAACATCAAGGTGTGTAACAAATCTGTCGTATTGCCAAACAAACCTGGCTTGTGTTTGAAGGTTTCGAAGCCAAGCCGACATTAATGTGCCTGCCTTACAGGACATATCTGCCGTCCAAATCGCTGGGTTGGAAGACTCCAAGTATGTTGACAAGGTAGATGGAGCCAAGACCAAGACCGAATCTTCATCGCCGGTGACATTCTCTGGTGAAATGGACCGTGTTTACACTCCGGCCAAAGGTCCTGGACACCCCATTGTCATTTCTGATACCGGCCGCCCTTGCTTCCGGATTGTCAGAGATAATCTTGACCAAGTTGTTGTGTGGAACCCTTGGATCGAGAAAGCCCAGGGGATGTCCGACTTCGCTCCCAAGGACGGCTATAAGAACATGGTTTGTGTCGAAGCAGGGAGTGTTGATGGCTGGCAAAAATTGGACAAGGGTGACGCCTTTGAAGGTGCCCAAACTATTTATATTTTGTAACTGGGTTTCAAAAATTGAAAATGTTGATCCTTAGGGCGGAATAGTGTGGTGATTGGCTCATGTCACCACCTCTAGCTATCTTGCCAGTGATGCCACAGAAATACCGTTCAAGCAGTCAGACTACTTGATCTACGCATTTTATGCGACGTTGGCAGTATATCATATGCAGCGTCTCTCTGACTGTGAGCAGTGCAGTTGATGAATAAAGTATGAAAGCTGGCAAATATTCTCTTTCCATAGAAGCAAGGATTCCCTTTTGTAGGCACGCTGTTCCCATAAATCATCCTTCTTTCAGATAGTGTATTCCCGTATCAAAATGTGTCTTTATTCCTCTGGAACCCACTTGTCGATCCCCGATATAGGGCCAAACAGTATTTCATGTCGACAAATCCCACTGATGTACATGATGTTTCACCTCTTAATAAGCGACAGCTTGCCTAAATTTTCTGGCCCCTCTCAATCTTGCTTAAGAATCGCTTTTTTGCTCCTGTGAAAAGTGATCGGCGACTAGGAATGCAAGCTCAAGAGCTTGTTTTTCGTTGAGTCGAGGATCGCAGAAGGAGGTGTAGTTGGTGGACAAGTCGTCCTCCTCGAGACCTTCACTGCCTCCCAGGCACTCTGTGACGGCGTCGCCGGTAAGCTCGAGATGAACACCGCCGAGGTAGCTGCCCTGCTCCTTGTGGATGCGAAGCGACTCCTGAAGTTCTTTGTAAATATCGTTAAAACGGCGCGTCTTGATACCGGAAGGCGTGGATAGGGTGTTGCCATGCATGGGGTCGCATTGCCAGACAACGCATCGGCGGTACTCAGAGTCCTCAACTGCACGAATGTGCTTGGGCAACAGCTCGCCGACCTTGTTGGCACCATAACGAGTAATCAGAGTGATCTTGCCGGGCTCACAATCGGGATTGAGTGTCCGCAACAGGTCTAGGAGATCGGAGGTTGGTGTCGTAGGGCCAACTTTGACGCCAATGGGGTTGGCAATGCCACGGAAGAATTCAACATGGGCATGGTCGAGTTGGCGGGTTCTATCTCCGATCCAAATGAAGTGCGCAGATGTGTCATAGTAGGCCTGCTGCGTCTTGGGCTCGTCATCATCCGCAGGTAGTGGAGGCGAGGGTGCTCTGCTGCTGGCGGGGGGTGCTGGACGAGCCGGCGGCGATTCTAGCAGTCGTGTCAAAGGTTCTTCGTACTCTAGAAGGAGTCCCTCGTGACTGGTGAAGAGCTCGACGGTGTGCAGCTCATCTGGGCGAGAATTGATGACTTGCAAGAAACGGAGGGTCTGCTGAATGCTGCTGGCAATGGACGAGTACTTCTCCTTCAAGACTGGGTCACGAACGTGACCCAGGCCCCAGTCCAGGGGCCGGTGAAGGTCTGCGATTCCGGACGCAATGGAAGTACGGATGTAGTTGAGGGTGGCCGCAGAGTAATGGTAGGCTCTACGAATCGGATTAGCAACAGGAAGCGCCAATTCGTCTCACTGACGTCGCATGTGTTTTCTGGGAATGCTCAAGCTTACTTGGTCAGGCGGTTGGGATCGATGTCTCTTTCATCGACGTGATAGCCATTCAGAATATCGCCTCTAAAGCTCGGGATCTCGCGGCCCTGATACATCTCGGTTGGGCTTGATCGAGGCTTAGCATACTGGCCAGCCATTCGGCCGATACGAACAACACGTTTGTTGGTGCCCCAAATGAGAACCACGCTCATCTGCAGCAGCAGCTTTATCTTGGATTCGATGGCGCCCTGCTCACAGTAGTCGAAGAGCTCGGCGCAGTCGCCTCCTTGTAGGAGAAAGGCCTTGCCATGAGCAACATCTCTGAGGTGAGCCTTGAGAGCCAGGATCTCGTTGGGGTGAACCAGCGGCGGCATGCGCGAGAGCTCTTTGACGACCTTGGTCAGCTTCTCCGGCTCAGGGTAACTGGGAGCCTGCTTGATGGGCTTAGAGCGCCATGTTGACGGAGTCCAGGGTTGAGAAGCCATGGAGTAAGTGGGTGAGTGAGTGAGTGCTCTTGTGAACGGGCCCGATGAATGGTGAGAAAAGGCCGAGTTGGGACTTTCGCGAGCAGGCTCATGCGCGTGCGCGTATGTATATTATATAAATAATCTGCTCAGTCTCGAGGCGTGAGTCTGTCGCTGTGCGATTTGGGACCGACGCCGGAATCCGCCTGTGAGTCAGCCAATGACGGCAATGCCTCTGCAACACTCTGGACTTGTACGACGTTACCATGGAACGAAGCCTGTCTGCAGATTCGGCAGTCGTTTTTTTTTTTTTTTTGGATGGCACACACCTGACTGGAACAATAAATTTTTGTTCCCACTCGAGACGGGACATCCAGCACAATTCAGTCTCGGCGCCGGTATTGGCGAATCACACAAGGTCGTTCCCGCCCTGTCAATAGCTTGGGCGTGGCATCAGGTCCAGCTTAGTGGGATGCAGGGAGATACAGAAACTGTCCCTGACCCCACATTTGCTGCATCCACTTGACGCCATCTAGAGAGAGACAGCTTGGGTGAGCAGCCTGATCACTCCGTACATTTCCACCTTCCCACCTTTGCCGTCGAGAACGCACGTCGACACACGTCTACACACGTCTACACATCGAACCAAAAATGGCCGAGCCACAGCCCCGAAATGTCCACGAGGGCGCGACAACGGGCGATGTCGAAGACGAGCTCCAGTCCACTGCCAAGTCAGCCGAGGACCGCAAAGCCGCCTCCGCCCTCGCCAGTCTCGATGCCGCCGCCGCCAACGATGACGCTGCCGGAAGAGATGTCGATCAGGAGGCCGTCAACAAGGCCATGAAGAGCCTTGGGGGTGCGAAATCTGCACCAGTCCCCGCCGCCGCCCCTGCCAAGAGCGTCAAGGTAGATGCTGCCGACGTGAGCCTATTAGTGGATGAGTTGGAGCTGTCGAAACCCAAGGCCACCGAGTTGCTCAAGGCCCATGACGGGGACGCCGTCAAGGCGATGCGGGCTTGGGTCAAGGCCTAAGTCACGGGAGGAGGCAGTTCCCCGTGCCGGGCATCGGTCTTGACTGGTCACCTGCGGCGCCCAGCATCTTTATATATAGGGAGAGGTGCATCTACCGTCCATCGATGCTGTCTCCCCTATGGCGAGCATTCATCCATCAACATGCCGTCATTCTAGTCTAGTCAGACTATCAAAGAGGGGAAAAAAACTTCGAGAGGCCGACTCGAGTCTGCTTCGCTGGATGCTTGGCTTTAGCCCGAACACAACACAACAAATATTGGGCTGGTCAAAAGGCGGGAGGCTCGAGTCACCTCATTTCTCCTTTCAAGCCTGACACCCAGATATTATGAAGTATTATGAGGAACGTGACGGAGAGTAACTTAGCAACTCGTGGTCGGCGCAGTAACAGCCCACAACCAGCCATAGAAGTGAGGTAATAAAGGGGAATTAGACTGATCAAGATAAAAAAAGGTGTTGCGTATTTTGCTATTGATCGCATGCTATTTCTACGTAAACTCAATACGTAAACCGGCTAATAGTTTGAATATGTTAATTAATCTGTGTCAACACTACGTGATTATACAAAGCTGCTGCATGGCTTACTTCCTGGCTCGGTTGATCGTAGTATGTGCATGCGGTTGTTTGCCATTTCAAGAACAATCCCATGCCAAATCTGTTCTCAAACGCCGTGTGGGAAAATGTGTATCAACTCCAATCTTAGTGATGGTCCCTCCGAATCTCCAAAAAACAAAGTTTGCCAGGCCGTGTCTGGGGTATTGCAAGTTTTGATGGAGTAGCGCCTTATTCCCATGCTTGCGGCATCAACATAATTACCTATCTACTTGGTAGGTAATTATAATACCTTACTCCCAGGTTTTAGCTAGTGGGCTGCCAACCTTGGGCGCGAACTGAAGACTTTTGCGTCTTGCTGCCATGAGTCTTAGCATGACCTGTTCATCTTTCTCGCGGCTCAAAACTCCCTTTCCTAATTCGCGATATTTGCTTTCTTTCGGAGGACAAGTTCTTGTTAAAAAGCTCTGCTTCGACGGCGACATGATGCCTGATAAGTCTTCTGAAGTTGGTGTTTCCGGCAGTTCTGCCGCGTACTTTGCAATTGCCTCGGGCGCTGGAGTCTTCGGAACTGGAGTGAGCAATGCACATGACCATTCGAGGTCCTCATCATCTAGGTCCCCCTGATCAGATGGTGTGTGCATCCACATAGTGCTCTCTCTTCGATTTCTAGGCGTATTTGGGGTCTTGGATGGGTTATTAGTACCAGATATAATCGTACCATTGAGATTTGCAATCGCCTTGGGTTCCATGCTTTTACGACGCCTAGCGCCTCCACGGGGTATGAAAGTCGTGTCAATGTAATAAGGGGATTCCTCGAGCCATTCATTCTCACGTTCGCAGCTATTTCAACGTCATGTTAGTTAGTGACTACAACGACCTGCATAGTCAGGTCAAGCAACTTACTCTAGAACCCAGCTGACGCCGACGCAGTGGACAACTCCATTGCTTTCCCGAACTTTCTCCATAGTGCGTTTACCGCCATCCTTGAACACGACGTGGGTAATCCCAACTTTGCTCGATAACGCGCCTTCGCTAGTGAGAGAGCCGCTGGGGTTCCAATTCCAAGTCTTGACACATTTGGCGCCCATTTGGTTCAAGAGCTCGACGAAAATGCCGCTGGCGTCCGCACCTTCCGTAGTATGCACATCGACAAACACCACAGCACCACGAAGCAGTCCTGGGTTGATATCTCGACAAGGGGTTTTCCCAGGCGTGCCGACGCTTGACCACAGATCTCCTTTGGCGGGAGTGGAGAATGGGTCATAGGCAGGAAGTATGGACGCGCGCTTTTTCCCTTTTGTCGGTGAGTATGAGATGACTGTGGCGCTTCGGGGCAAATGCCCTACACTTTTTGCACTGAAACTCCTTTTTTTAGATGGGCTTGGTTCCGAATCATCTGCTGGCTTCAGTGGGACTTTGGTGGTTGTAAAGTAAGGCTTTTTCTGCTGTGACGGTCGAGTAGGTGTGACGGGCGTAACATATCTTGCAGAAGGAAGAACCGTGTCCTCAGGGAGCTGGTTCTCATCGCCGTATTCCTGGCTAGCTTCCGAGAGAGCTTCCTCCGTATGTTGGGTTTCGCGGTCATCATCCACATTCTGGGGCATGAGTTGCATATTATTAGCTTCTGCAGCAAGAGCAATATCCTCATTTGTCATAGCAATGTCCTCCATAGTAACAGCGTCGTCATTTGTCCTCTGTCCGATCTCCGACTCAGTATGCTGACGGGGAGATTCTAAATCAGCGTGAACGAGAATTTCATCTTCAAAAAAGCTGTTCTTCATAGGCGAAGCCTCTGATTGCAATGTCATCTCTAGAACTGCAGTAGACGAAGTGATATTGCCGTCGTGGGTGCCTCCAACAACAGAGGATTGATCCTTGGTCATCTTGGTAGGACTAGCCGATGCCCAAGCCCCGAATTTCTCAGTTAAGGACGTTAAACCAAGGGTAGATCTCCGTGAGTCCCTTGGAGCCGCATGAGTCATGTCTCTCCCATTCGTGGACCTACGATCCAAACGACTATGATGTGCTGGGAGCTGCTTCAGAGGAGACAAATCGTCCTCAGACTCAAAATCAGATGCAAAGTCGCGGCACGCATCAAGAACACTACCCCGAAGCTGAAACCTTGCACCTCGCTTTGTCGCTGGGGTTGCTGTAATTGCAGCGTTGCTTATCTGAATCTCAGGCTTCCCGATGTGTCCATCTGTTTCTTCTCCCAGAACCATGGCGCCGTCTTCGCAGATTTCTCTATCAGTTTCAAATAGTTCTGTAACCACCTGGCCGTTGCGAATATATTCATAGCTGTCGGCCTCTGCCATCTCTTCGGGGGCAGAGCGGCCGATGGGGTAGACTTTTTCATCTTCTTCTTCATCCTCTATATCATCTGCATTTATTAGAGGGTCAGCATGGCGTGGCAAGACGGCAGACATTCGACCTGGAAAGCGAGGGCTGTCGGCCAGGCTAGTGAAAGGGTCGTCGCCGATGTCGCCAGTCTCGCCATCATGAAATTCTTCAGCGAGGAGCAGCTGAGAAGGCAAGCCACTAGTACTGACACTCGAACATGAAACAACGATTGGCTGCATTCTGGGGGTCCTGGTTAATATGGCATTCTTGCCATTTAATTCCTCCGTCACCGGCCTGAAACCGGGCATGGCCCGCTTAGCTGGAGATTGAAGCAGTGAGCTTTTGAGCGGCGGCTGACCATGAAGCGGCGTCCCAGCCGTCATTGGCGGAAATTTTGAGCCCTTTATCGGTGACGGAGGTCTCTTGGCAGGGGAATAAAGAAGAGAAGACTGATTGTGTTGGTCCTCCGAAGGAAGGGCCCGGGGTTTCAGAAGGGATCCGGGTAATTGGACTTTGCCACATGGTCTCTTTGCCGGCGACGTCAATGACTCCTTTGTAGGGGATGTGGGTGGTCGTCTTGGCGGTGATGTTAAAGTAGTTGTTTCGGGAGGCGCAACGAGCTCTTCCACATCTGTCATTGCATTGTCCTCTTGTTGACTAGATGTGGCGTTAAGTGACTTCTGGTTGATAGGCGCGTATGCCGATAGCTTGACGGAAGTTTTGATTGAAGGTTTGATCTCATCGCCTCCAGCCAGCTCATCATCTGAACACTCTTCGTCTCGCGAAATAGGCATTTGGGTAACTTTCTTAGGACTCAGTGGCTTCTTGGGGCCCGTGTCAGAATCCTGAGAGGTTTTTGGCTGCGGCTTTGGCATTGTGGCAGCTCCACGCCTCGCAGGTCGGCCTCGCAGGCCTCCCATGCTTCCCGCACCCTTCGCCTTTGATGCAAGACCGAGGTTTTCCTTTCCCGCTCCTTGGAATTTTACAGATTTCTTCATAGTGGTTTTAGCTTCTTCTTGAGCTTCTTTGGTGTCGTTTCCAGCACGAGTACGCGTCGGTCTTTTTGCTATTGGCTCTGGCTCTTGAAGAGGGGCCTTTCTTGCGCGGCCGCGGAGTCGGGATGAGCCAGCATTGTCATTTGATGAATCTGCCGCGAGCTTCTTGGCGCCTCCTCTACACGTGGATGTGTTCGATGAAGGGCCCATAACGGCTACAGTGTTGCTTTCTTCGTTGCCAGGGGCCTTTCTGGGTCCGGTCCTTGTGGTCCTTCTGGCGGCAGACACTCTGAGCGTGTCGTCGCCATCGTCATTCTCATCAGCCCTAGTCTTCCTTTTTGCGGCCGTACTTTTGGTGCTTGCTGTTGCTTTGGAAAGTGATCGAGCTTTGGCAGCTGCTGTGACGATTTTGGTCGACTTGGCAGCGGCGTCGCTTGCTTTGGCGGCTGCTCGAGCTCGCGTCATTCTTTTCGGGGGGGAGTCCATTGCCGCCACAACTCGCTCTGGGTTATCTTTGCAAGTATTCTGGGGTTAGTAAATCAGCATAAAATAAGACCACGAGCTTTACATGGTGTCTTTCTGCACAAGCGTAGATAGTATGCAGGAGTGATGGTCTTCACGGATCAAGCTGAGCTAGCTAGCTTTGTTGTCGGTGAGCTGCCGTGTTTAGTACCACCGGTTGCTCGGCAACGACACAGTGTATGCATGTGTGGACCAGACTCATCGAGCCACCGCGCTTCCTTGGACGGTAAGCTGCCAACACCATATCCCAGGTCATATTGGACTCTTGCTTCAAGGGACAAGTCATATTGACGTCACAATATGCTCATTTCACTTGGACTGTAGCGGTCGATGGCATGTAGAGGCCTGATTTGTTAATGGCACGAATACCAGTTGCCGATTGGTTGATAGGAAACTATTTACATTTAGAGAACGCGTGCAGCTCTCAAAACCGCAACAGTCTCTAGTCATGTCCTCTTTCACAGAATAACAAAAGTATCGTTAAACGAAGAATACTATATACGTTTGCGCACTAATCCAGACGAACATGGAAACACAGAAGACTTGAACAAGTCAACCCGTGTCAGCACCTCGCTATGCGACCATCTCTTCATAAGCTCATAACCGTAGACTGCATTGATGGCATAGCTGTTGAACAACTCACGGTTGTTTCTCTTGGCAAGTTAAGCAGCAGAAGGATAAAAGAACATTACAACTATTCACAAGGGGGGGTATACTGTAGTTATTGCTTTTAGTGTGCTGCATACCAATATGCAGCCTGGCAAGCAAAGAGTCAACACCTGAATCGACCGATCCTTGACCGATTTTCTACCCAGGTCTAAAAGACGGCCGAAAGGGGCCGTCAATCTTCACGTCTTTGACACCCTCTGGCATCAGCCGTAGCCACTCGTTCCAGCTTTCAATATCAACGTTATCGTCGGTCAGTCGAATAGAAAGATGGAGTTGCGGATTGTTTTCATAGGAGAAACTATTTCGCGTCGGGCTGGGGTGATGGATAGGAGAAAGAAATACTGACGGCAATCTTGAATTGCCAGACATCATTGTATGTAGCGGAACAGGAAACGTCGTCAGCGTCTCGCGTTCGGGAGTTGTGTCCCGAACAATCTTGGGATAGTGTGACAATAGTAACGCATGCAGTTCTACCACCGAGAGAGGGGCAGATCGCGCAGCCCGAGCACTCAAAAGCTCCGATAGAGCTCTTGTAAATGCACACCGGCCAAGAGAGGTAGCGTGATCCTCAGATGCCGAGGCTGCAAGGAGCTCCAAGACGCCTTTTCGCCGTACAATCTTGGACGACGGATAGTAAGCAGCATCCATAAGAATGAGTACATCTGCGCAAGCCTCCTCTAATATTTGTTGCATGCCACTCCATCGGATTGTAGAAGCCTGATCTTTGTCCATTGAGCTGCGGTGAGTTAGTTTGGATAGCAACTTGGTCCTATAGATCGGCACGTACCTAGTCAAAATCATTTCCCTGTTGCCATCGAGACATGTGTGTCCAGCGTAATAAACGATTTTTAAAACGTCGCGTTGATCGCAATCTTCGGCAAAATCATTCAGCCGGCGTGAGAGCCATCTCCATGAGCTCTTGGAACTATCTGAGGCAGATGGAATAGCTTGAATATGAAACGTATAGTGATAAGACCTGTCAAACACATGGGCCAACTCTTGAAGTGCATCTTGTATGGTTGTCGCGTCTTCGTCGTCATGCCAGAAGAGCAGCAATACTTGAACAGAGTTGTACCGCCCGCGATGGGTTGTAGATAGGATTTTTGGCACATTGTGTTGCAATTCATTTTTGAGGCTCTCGATTCCTGGCAAGGATAAGGACTTTTCCAATCTCGGGCCAGACGGCAACGGGGTGCGAATTCGAGCCTCGCTCAGTGGGTGTCGGCCTGGCTGATGATATGCTGTTGGCGAAGAATCTATATCCATTGCCTGAGTCTCGTGCGCGAAAGTTGGTTGGATAATGCTCAGTGACGAAGCCGGGCTCAGTGGGCGTCCTGCACCGAAGGACGGCGTTACATCTTGACTGTTGGGGCTCTGTGATCTGTGAAACCGGTGTAACAGGTCTTCCCAGGTCATATTGTGGTGACTGGGATGGCACTTTGGGCACTCGAATGGTTAGCCAAAGGACAAGTACGATGCGAACAGCCACCTCACGGAACACAAGCTGAGGTGGAGGAGCAAAAGTTACATGCATGACAACATCAATAGAACAAAAGGCTGTTGGGTTCCAGAAAGCAGAAACAGGATACGAGAAATACTTACGGCAACCCGTCTTCGACGACAGTCATGACATGCCCCCAGCTTTCTGATCAAGGCAGCGCGCTCTCTAGATTGCTGTGACAAAGGCCCAGTACGTCTCCTGCTGGCGCGGCGGGTGTTAGAGACGTCGGAGCCGTCTTTGACTGAGAAGATGGATTGATGCAAGCTAGGGGAGGTGTCGGCACTGTACGATGTGTTGTTGGTCTCAGCAGAGGCCGTGGTGGCCGTGGTGGCCTGAGTTGAAATAGAGGACAAGGTATCCTTGCGCGGAGGAGGCGAGCCCGAATGCATGAGACGAGGTGAAGTCGGAGAGTACATGGCATGACGAACCAAACTCTCGTCAACCTTTGCGGCCGGGGGTGATGGTGAGGTAGATTTTACCGTATCAGCAACAACACCAGGCGTCGGGGCAGCAGACTCGATGGGATTGCAGCCGTCTTCGTCGCGAACCGTAGTCAACATGGAAAGGGATGATGAAGATGCCGCCGCCGCCGCCGCGGTGGCATCAGCCAAACTATGGACGGGATCCATGACGAAGAGAGATGACGGTCGGATTATGCCGCTATGCGATCATAATTGTTGGCTCCAACAAAGGTTGAGGCGATATCGTCAGGGAGAGTTGAGCCCGACAGCGGTTGAGAGCCTATCACCACGACACCCAAGAAATCCCTATTTTAAACTGGAATCTTGGCATTCAATTCGAAAGACGGCAGATCAAGGCGGAATTTAGTCCCAATTGGCGCTCACAGCCTTGCGTTAGGCGTGTGGAAGAAAAAAATATGAGGAGCCGGCCGGTATACCGTATAACACGCGAAGTTGTCTTGCGCCGGCGTTGGTCCTCTTGCAGCTTACACTTTCTGCTGCGTCGTCGGGGTGGTTGGTGGTTTGTAAGGGTTTTCCGGAGACAAAAAACTTGGGAGGCTCAAAATTTCTTATGTGAGCTCCCTCGTATAACCAACAATGGCCAGGTTAACTGAGCTTCTCGTGGGCTCTGGGTTTGGTTTTCTTTTTGTTGAAGATGAAAGTGATCGCTTGAAGCACTTCAAGTCTTGAACGCTCGACGACGTGGGCAGACCCCCCACCAAAAGGACCAAACTAAGATGGGACAAGGACAAGGACAAGGCCACTGGTACCCTTCGCAGAGAGCACTCACTGCTGACGAGAGATAGCCGAGGACTGGAGGGAGGAGGGGCCTGGCGGTTGCAGTGGAGAATGGAGAAACCAGACATGGACTGGACGGAGCACCATGTGTAGTAGGGAAAACGGCTTGACTTGTTTTTATTCAGACCTTGGACGTAGAATACGGGCGTGCATGTGCAACCCAGGTCCGGACGTCGCCAAGCTTCTGGGTTTTCGGTCGTGCTAGGCCCAGAGCATTGGGTCAGGACTGGATGGAAGGGCAGACAAATCTACAGAGTGCCGCTGACCTGACTCCCGTGCCGGACTTTAGAAGGAAATACGTCTGGTGCGAGGTACGTACCCTATGTACTCCGTACCTGTAGACAGAGTCAGGTCCGGATGCCGTTCCAGATGTCGTCTTTTATCATTTCAAGTTCGTCCTCGGGCACAACACGCAGGGGCGCAGCATTTCGAACGTTGAGCCGAAGCAGCGGGTGGAGGCGCTCCAGCCAGACCGACTCGGAAGCAAGAGGTGAGCAGACCAGACCTGGACTTGAACTTGATCATGTCCAGAAAGGAAAACGCCAATGCCGAGCACGAAGCGGCTGCGGCCGGGATCAATCGATGCCTCTATGTTGTATCGATACATGTCTGGCATGTGTGTGGTCTGGTGGTCTTGCAATTTGATCCACTACTAAGTAAGTACTAAGTAAGTAGTTGACCCCCTGAGAACATTCAATCGACCAGACGGTACTATGGAGACCCGAGGGCCGTAGCGACACTGGCTGGTACATACATGTAACTTTGAAGCTGCGGTTGGCCCTCGACATTGGCTCGAGCAGAAATCATCATGAATGGGCCCAGGCCATAAGCAACTCGGCGAAAGGTCAGCAGCCGGCCATGTCTCTCTCCCAGGTTAGATGCCAGGTTGGTACACATAGGCGCTCCGGGTAGACGAGAGAGGTAAGCGGCACTCAACGGCCCTCAAGGGCACTCAAGGGCATGCGCAGGCAAGGCTCGAGCACGAGCAAACGGGCAACAAGCCGGCGCTCGAGTGGTAGGCGCATGCAGACAGGGCGACGTCGAGCACCAGGCGTGTCAAGGTCGCAGATAGGTCGTGAAACCACACTTGTACATACACCACCACATGGACAAAGATGAGGGACCCGGCGGCGGCTCCCGCAGAGGATGGCTGGATGGCTGGCTGGCTTGGAGGGCATCCTCGTCGACGGTTTCTCTGCTGTGGCTCCCCGGTCCGGTCGGTGGCTGTGGGAAGAACCGGGAGAGAACTGGGCAAACATGCAGTCAAGGATCAATGATGACAGCATCACCCTCGAGTGCTCTGCTGTTTTTGGTCCGTCATGCACGGCGCCGTTGCAGTTGAGCCATCGCTGTCTGGAGCGAGCTGCTGCAGCTCATGGCTCTCGCCTCAGTTGTAAGCCGCTTCGGTACTGCATTCACCGAACCCTACGGAAATTTTCAACTTCGGCGGTCGCTTCGACGCCCTTTTTTTCATGGAGTGAAAGGTACCAGACATAGTCACTCCGTAGAAACCTGATAGTAGAGGCGCGTCTCCGTCCGACACCCCGTGTACGGGAACAAGACCGCTTTCACTATCCCAGCATGTGCAAGTCTGAAGATGCCAGCAACAACAGCCCACGAAAATACACCTGGTGCATATGGGCATTGGCAGGAAGCATGCGGGATGATGGCTGACTGCTTGGAATGGCAGATACTCCGGCTCCGTACGTCCCACGTGCTTGTGGCCTGCTCAACTTGACCTTTCCTCCACAGCTTCCCTTGTTTAGACTTTGGAGCGCGAGGTACGGAGTAACTACTGCAGACTCGAGTCTGGTCAAGTGCAATGTCGCAGATGGTACTACTACTAGGTTTCTACCGCGGAGAGAGTCTGGGGAGAGTCTGGGGCATCTTTCTGGGGCTGCTGGGAAGTGATTCGATTGGCAAACATGCGGAGTACTTGGGCACACAGCTGTGCAAGCACCACCATATAGGTACCTGGGTAGCTCATCCATGTTGTCCTCTCAGGCTACTTACTTGGGTACGAGCGATATTTTTGCCCATCAAATACTACTCCGTACTATGGCCTGGTTCTCTGAAACCTCGCGTCTGATCTGTCCTGAAGAGCCGGTTGGTCAGATGCAGTCTTGGCTCAATCACTGATCAGCTACTCCGTACTGATTTTTTTTCTGTGGCGATGTTAAAGTTTCCGGTTTCACCTCGCAACCCGATTGCGGAATCTCACATGCATTCGGCTACACAACTTTCCAACCAAGCCGTCGGTGTAAGGTCGCCCACCACCATGTCCAGGACGCGTCGTTTCCTTTAACACAATGGAAATGGAATGGAATTACAGAGCCTTATTTATGAACTAGGACTTGCAGTTGCTACTCTTCAGACAAAAGCTGAATTTATTCTTTTCTTCTTCTTCTTTTTGCTGTGTAGCAAATTTAAAAAGGCAAAAAAGACATTCTTTTTGACTTGACTGTCGTCTCCTTCGTAGGCGCCGTCTGTCTAGCCAGCTTGTTAGTAGAAAAGCAACTAGACCGGACATTTGAACCAAACTCGTCGTAAGCCACGAGCCGCTAGTTTTCGCCGTCCTCTATATTTCTTCGTCTAGACCAAACGAGCCTCCACAATTTCCTTCTCCTGGGTATCCCCATGTTTCCGGCCCAGGAACAAAGCACATGTCTAGTCAATGCTAACTAACGGCCCCAGGTTGCCTCACCGAGGTCCAGTCGGCTCGCTCGGTGGGTGCTTGTGGCTGCGGTCCCGTGAAATCTTCTTGCACGCACCCATTCTCAACAAAATGCTCCCTTGGTTGGTCTCAAAACGTAGATCTATGCAAATCGTCAAATCTCCGGAGACCGTGACCGTGATGGTCATATCATGTATGCTCATGCCGTCATTGGCTCACGCGCGGCGAGAAAATTATTGGTGGAAGTGGGCTCTCGAGCTCCGAGCCAACATGCCCGAACCCTTCAATATCTATGTACCCCAACTTGCCACAAGTACTATTTTATTGATTCGCTCGAAGTTGGGATGAGGTGAGAGATATGGGTCAATCGACACTGCCCGCCTTCAAACTGCTGCGGGCTCTCTGCATCTGCGTACTCGGAGCTTCATCATCGGTGTCTGTCGTGTATGTAGTACGGCATAATGGACGGCATTTGCCCACTGGAGCTAGCATAATATTCCGACCATGTCAATATGCAAACTTTGACTTTGTGTAGCCATCCGTCGGACTCGCGCGTGGTAAGACCTGATTGACTAGCTCGCATCTACGTCTGTAACTGATGAGCTTTCGTTCGCTGGGGACAGCCTCTCTGACACTTAGCTCATCTTTCGGCGCCAAAACCTGGTCTTTCTGACACCTTTCCATTGGGATTCTTCCTCTGGCTCTTACAGTGACAATGACCATGTCAAGTTTGATGTACATACATATGAGGCTATCGCGAGATGGCCTTGACTAGCGGGCCGCGGCGCTGCAGTGGCTGCACCAATTGTGCTGGTACGTCTGACGCGTCACGATGCGTATGTACGGTCCATTTCTCTAGTCTCTTTACTGTCCTTGGCCTAGTACATCCTAATACTATTTTAGATTTTACGCTTGCACAATACTCGTATCTTTCTTGTAATTTCATTTGACTACAGAGCGAAACAATACTCCCCTTTAACATACCTACTTTAGGTACTGTGGTGGAAATGTGGGTCGGGGAAAGACTTCTGGGACCCTGCTTAGTACGTACTTAAGTAAGAAGCTACATTGTAACTACCTAGGTACCTAGGTAGGTACCTAGGTACTTACGTATGTGCCACCACAGAACCCAACCTACGACCTTTTCGAGTCTTCAACAACACCCTCATCATCAGCTAATGCGAAATCCGTCCAACGCAGTCGAATTGACAGCCTCAGCAAATTATATTATCCCCAATCCAAGCGTAGGCTCTACTGGTCGGACTGCAAAGGGATCCCCATTCACCCGACCTTGCCATTTGATGCGAACATGTCGTCAGGGAAGCGAGGCCCTACGGTGCTAGTACGTTGATTGTCAATATTTATATATCTTCCCTCCTTTCTCTCTTCGCAGGCCCAGAATTTTTCATTCGCTTACAACTGCGATAGGTCACTGATGCGCGGGAGAGATCAAATCAACGCAGATCTCTTCGTCGCCAAGATGCCTCTTCCGGGGCTCCTAGCCGAGTGCCAATGCGGTTTATGACCGTCGATAATGTTCTGCAATACAACACACAGATTCCATCCGGACAACCACGAGCACCCCCCATTCCACAGAGACCTCATGCAGCTGCCGCAGCCAGCCAAGGCAGACGGGTCATTTCGGGCGGTGGTTTACCTAACCTTCAGTCACGAACCGGCCAACCCATGCCATCACGAACAACAAAGATTAGCCAAAAGCTAGTTCTTCTTCCGGAGACCGATGATCACAGCGATAACGCGGAAGAAGAAGTGGAAAGCGAAACAGTATTGGCTCGGAGATTACAAAACGAAGAAAGTAGACCGCTGAGGGACGAGGAGTTGGACGTTCTTAGAAAAAGAGGAGGCGTCCGGGGGAAAAGCTATGCTGAAAGACTGCCCAAGCCGCAACGAAAAGACAAGGTCAGCCGATTAACAGCATACTGCACGGCTCAGGCGTACAAGACGGCAGAGACGTCAGAATTTTTGAGAAAGAAGCACGAAGCAAAGACTAAACTGTATGACGACTGTCTGTATGCCATCTACGCATTGCCGTTGTTGAATGGCACAGAGGGATATCGAGTACGAGGACGGCCTATGCTGAAAACTCCAGGAACGGGTAAGACCATGCTCGACTTAGAGATCGAGAGAAGCGAGCAGCGTGACCACCACGAGGGTTATTTCGAAGACGATGCATATACTCAGCCCGAGAGCCCAGAACGAGGTGGTCGAGATTCCTCTGCCCACGGTCCCTCCCGATCTCATGGGCATGAGGGCCAGCAGGAACAAGATGATGGCATTCCGTCGCAGATGAGCCGTCTGGCACCGGATGCCAAAAATTTTGCTGAACTGTTTGTTTTCTCGTATGGCGTTGTGGTATTCTGGAACTTTACGGAACACCAGGAGAAGGATATTCTCGCCGACTTGACTTTCGCTGATGCCGAAGATAACATCAGTCTGTTGACTCGCCCGCTGGAGCAAGACGATTTTGAGACGGAAGAATTCCACTTCGAGTACAGCGCAGATGTCAAGCGACCAAGAGTGTTCAACGATATGATTACATTGTTGCCTCGGTCTGACCACATGATCAAGTTGACCATTAGCCATGCTATTGCCCAGAGCACCAAATTATGCTTTTTTGAGGAGAGGATGAGTGAAACTATGCTAGACGCGCAACATGTGCCAAAAACGTTGGCGCTAACAGGACAGTTGAATATGACAAGAGTAGAGATTGTCACTCTTCTCGGCAGATTATTCAAGAGCCGAGTGGATATCAATCTATGTAAGTTGTCTCCCCTCCGCTATTGGAGCCAAAAATTTTCATCAAAACTCAACTGCGCAAGACTATAGGGACTGCATTTCTGACTCTAGTGTAATATAGCATCGAATATTCTTGATGTCCCGAATTTCTTCTGGGACTCAGAACCTACGCTACATCCGCTTTATGTTGCCATCCGCGAGTATCTCGAAATTGATCCTCGAATAAAGGTTCTAAACGAAAGATGCCGTGTATTTCTTGATCTCGCCGAGATTCTGTCCGACTCAATCGCTGATGCCAAGATGAGCTACATTACCTGGATTGTCATTATCCTCATTGTCGGCAGTATTCTCGTCACGGTAACCGAAGTCATTCTACGCTTTGTTATGCTCAAGAAGAGCGGTAGCAAACTTAATACATCCTTTACATCAATATCCTGGAGCGGGGATATTGATCCTGCTGAGGTCCCCGAGGTCTTCTCTCTTCCTTCAGCGCCCATACCTAGCCAATCTCGCACCAGCACGACGTCAAGAAAAGGGACAGGTCCCAGGAAAGCGGCTGGCGCTGAAGCACATACAGATCTAGAAATTCTAGCTCTGACGCTAGGCCTGCAGTCAAACGCTACGTTAGACGACGTCAGACGAGGTATTCGCGATCTGAGACAAACAGCAGCGTCTAATGGGCATTGCTCCACTAAAAATTTGTCTCCTTTGGGTTCGGCAGAATTGCGAAAGAAGGGCATGATGGATGCGTCTTATTAGTATTAACCTTTGGTTAGTTCGCGCGGGGCACTTCTATATACAATATACCCCTGATAGTTTAGCCATGTGTGACATCAGTAGATGGGGCCAGTGTGAGGTTATACGCTAACAACTGTCATTTTCAAGAGCCTACCCCATAGAGTTAATTCTCTTAAGCACAAGAAAATATAGGAGATATTAACCCGAATAAAAAGTACTAATCCTTTTTTTTTTAATTATTATAAAAAATTATAAAAAAAAAGGCTAGTTAATCACCAGGACCTACTAGTAATATAATTAATAATTATACCTTACTAATATAATTAAATTATAATAAAAAAATAAATAAATAAAGGCTAGCTAATCACCAGGACCCACTAGTAACACAATCAATAGCTATACCTAGCTAATTTGATAGTAACACACAATTTTAAAAACAGTACACACATCGCAATACATCAAATCTACTAGCTCAAGAGGTGATTCATGACCTTACACGCCGGCAAAAGTATACACGTAATAATGACGGCGACTCGCAACCACGTGAGTCACGCCCCGAAAAACTCAGAGTAATCCAACACAACATAAATCGACGAAGTCTGCGCCCGACTTTCACGAAGCCCATTAAGATCAAGGACACCATAGAGCTTATCAATAAAAAGTAGCTCTGTGTCATAGTTTTCCCCCTCATTGCGGAGGGGAGTACTAATCCTTCTATATTTTTTACAAGGTTTGCTTCTGTGATGACGGTGGCTGAGGCTATCGCGAGATGGCTTTAGCAGCGGTTTTTGTAGTACCTGGTACTCCACTTTATTAGTTTATTTCCTGATACCTTGTTGGGCCCTTAGCCCCAGTCAGCTCCGCCAGAAGTCACTGCTGGCTAAACGTACAGGGGTTGGATTGCAGGCTGGTTGTTGAGGAGGGGCAAAAGAGGTAAAAAAAAAAAAAAAAGGGCCTTGGATAATGGCACAGAGCATACATACATATACTACAGACACGTAAGGTTTGTCGTCGGCATGTTGTGACTGACTGGAAATCAGGACAAGAAATTTCTGATTTTATTCCGCAAGACTCTCGATTCGCCGACTCAATTTGTACGAACCATCGACCACTCGACCCCGTCTGGTCACCCTCGTCAATTCACCGTCTTCTCGAATTCTAAACGACAACACATACTGAAATGGGCAGTGTTCGAGTTCTCCTGATCGGAAATGGTGGCCGTGAGCATGCTCTGGCGTGGAAATTGAGCCAGTCTGCTCGAGTTGACACCATATTTGCCGTCCCTGGCAACGGCGGCACTGCCTCGTGTCCAAAGGTTACCAATGTCACCTCAGTCTCAGCGGAAGATTACCCAGGCCTCGTCACCTTTGCACAATCAAATGGGGTCAATTTAGTCGTTCCTGGACCCGAAGCGCCTCTCGTGGACGGCGTGGAAGGGTTCTTCAAAAAGGCCGGAATACCTTGTTTTGGCCCCTCCAAAGAGGCAGCTCGATTGGAGGGAAGCAAGACCTATTCCAAGGACTTCATGAAGAAATACAACATCCCAACTGCTACGTACGAAAACTTTTCTGACTATCAGAAAGCGATCGAGTATATTGATAGCGTCTCTCACGAAGTTGTCATCAAGGCAACCGGTCTCGCTGCCGGCAAAGGCGTTATCCTGCCTCAATCGAAACAAGAGGCGAAGGATGCCCTGAAGCAGATCATGGTTGACAAGGCCTTTGGATCTGCTGGAGATGAGGTTGTTATTGAAGAACTCCTGGCTGGCGACGAGCTGAGCGTTCTCACCTTTTGCGATGGTTACACTATTCGATCATTGCCTTTGGCGCAGGACCACAAGCGCATTTTTGATGGCGATCAAGGCCCCAATACCGGAGGAATGGGTTGCTACGCGCCTACAAACATCGCCACAAAGGAGTTGACGGAACGCATTGACAAAGAAATCCTCGAGCCTACTATTTTGGGAATGCGACGGGAGAAGCAGCCATTCCGCGGTGTACTGTTCACCGGCCTCATGATTACCAGTGCTGGTCCCAAAGTCCTGGAATACAACGTGCGATTTGGCGACCCAGAAACCCAAACTGTCTTGCCTCTTCTCTCCGCCGACACAGATTTGGCAGATATAATGCTTGCTTGTGCTGAAGGGTACCTCGACAACTGTCACTTGAAGGTCGAGCAGAAGTTCAGCGCAACTGTTGTTGTTGCTGCTGGCGGATACCCTGGCTCTTATGCCAAGGGGATTCCAATGACTGTTTTGCAACCGCCCCGAGGTAGCACCATTTTCCATGCGGGAACCAGGCTGGATGGAGACCAGCTCAAGTCATCTGGTGGTCGAGTGATTGCGATTAACTCTGTGGGTGAATCCCTTAGAGCCGCTGTGGACGCGTCGTATTCTGCACTCGCCTCAGGAATAATCAGCTTCGAAGCCATGTTCTTCCGAAAGGATATTGCGCACCGCGCTTTTCGAGATCAATCCAAGGAGGCCATGACTTACGCCCAAGCTGGTGTCGATATCCAAGCCGGTAATGATTTTGTCGAGAAAATCAAGAAGGCCGTAGCCAGCACCAAACGACCCGGAGCTGAGGCAGAAATCGGTGGATTCGGTGGCGAGCTTGATCTTTCACAATGCGGATACCAGAGCGTACCAATTCTTGTTGGCGCTATTGATGGCGTTGGTACCAAGCTCATGATTGCCCAAGCTATGAAGAAGCATGACACTGTGGGTATTGATCTTGTTGCCATGAATGTAAACGACTTGATCGTTCAGGGAGCCACGCCATTGATGTTCCTGGATTACTACGGCTGCAGCAAGCTTGACCTTCCATCTGCGGCCGCCTTTGTCGAAGGCGTCGCTGATGGCTGTCGCCAGGCTGGATGTGCTTTGGTAGGTGGTGAGACCGCTGAAATGCCCGGCATGTATCAGGGCGAGGATTATGATGCCGCAGGATGCGCAGTTGGTGCCGTCACCTCTGAGGAGCGACTCCCTCGGCAGAATACCATGACGGAAGGTGACGTTCTTCTTGGTCTCGGGTCTGTTGGTGTCCATTCCAATGGCTTTTCGCTGGTGAGAAGGATAGTGCAGAGTGCTGGCTTGGCGTATGAATCACAAGCGCCATGGGATATATCGAAAACCGTTGGAGAATCCCTCCTGACCCCCACCCGCATCTACGTCAAGAGCCTTTTGCCAGTTCTCAGTGAAATCAAGGGTCTGGCACACGTTACCGGTGGTGGTCTCATCGAGAACGTTCCCCGTATGTTGCCAGATGGCCTTGCTGCTGAAATCATCTACGGCTCTTGGGACATTCTGCCTGTCTTCCAGTGGCTCAAGCAGGCTGGAAATGTTGACCCCGCTGAAATGTGCCGTACGTTCAACTCGGGCGTTGGCATGGTCATTGCTGTAGATGCCAGCAAGGCCGACGCTGTGGCCCAAGCACTTTCCGCTTCTGAAAGCGTCTACAAGATAGGACGGCTGGTCCGTCGTAATCAGGGCCAACCTGGCTGTGAGGTTAAGAATCTTGAGTTATGGGCATGAGAATATCGAACACAGTTAGCCGCAAAAAGTTAAATCAGAGCTTAAGTTGAAGGGATACAAATAAACACACGGTGCATCCGTGACGACGTCGCCGTTGTTATTGAAGTAAGTTGCAGAAGAACTATTAGAGTAGATAAATGGGAGCGTCGCGCGTTATCCTCCTTTGCGATGGACACATAGGTGTTACAAACCAGACACCTACAATATTCAAGGCGGACTAAGCTCTATTCTATTTCATATCCCTTTTCCCAAGATATACAACCATACCATACGCCATGCTTCGAGAAAACAAAACTTCACAACAATACGTTTCCAAGTTATGATGCGCGAGACCATTCACCGCTTCGGAACTCACCATTTGCCTCTCTGTACCCGATCTCATTCCTTCGGTCATCAATGAGCCTACCCCATTCGAGCAGTAGTCGAAATAGATATATCTCCATGTCCTTCTTACTTATTGCTTCGCCGGCCCAACGTTGGCCTTGTCGCGCGATCCACTGCCCATCAGAAGAACGGCCTGTCAGGTATGTATTAATACCGTTCATTTTGGCCTTGTTCGCAGTCCCTGTAAAGTAAAGTAATGTCGTATGTAGGGCTTGATATCTTGGGTCTACAGGCACAAAATGCAGCCAAGGAGTGAGCCGCTCGGAATACCAAGTCTTGAACGTTGTTGAGATGAAGGGTAGACTCTGTGAGTGTAGCATCTTCAATATCGTAGCTGGTGGGCCGTCGTCTTCATCAGTCAAAAGTACATACCGATACTTTAAGGGATCCTCGGTCTGGGTGTTTTCACCATAAACTTTCTTAAGGGTGTTGCAGTGTTGGCTTGCACAGGCGGAAAAATCGTCTATACCGACATTGAAGGACAGGTCGCGATTAGCCTCTGCAACTGAAACAGACACTGATCTGAATTTATGATCCGCCCCTGAAATAGGGAGAATGACCGTTGCCCAGTCTCTGGAGTCAGCATTGTTGATAAGGTGCATTAACCTTAACTTATGGCTTCCCCGTAACGCTTGTTCATTGATGACTTGCCCACCGATTGCACTCCTCCAGAATAGAGTGTCCTTGCGTTTCAAAAAGGGCTCACTGTCATCCACCTGCTCTTGTCGGAAGTAAGACAATGGGACCAGAATATCTTGAAACCCTGCCATCTTAGATGGGCCAAATAGGGGAACGAGTTCTCTGATCGGTGGGGTGCTTAGGTCTGTCATTGCAAAGCTGTGTAGATGATTAAGGTCAGGCTGAGAGCACACATCCAATGATTTCTCCCAGTCGCTCAACAACTGGCCACGGGAGTGTTGCCTCACACAAGCCGAACAAAATACACTAAGATCCCAGTAAGGGCTTGTTTGGGCCCTCGACGTCGCGGGACATGCTTCAGTTCGCATCTGCTGAAAATCACTCGCCCGAGTTTGATGCCATGTTGCACTTTGAGCAGCCTCCTCTGTGTATCTCGATCCCAGTGTATTGTTTTCTGCAGACCAAGTATTCGTTGACCTTTTAGATATTATTTTGGCCATGGATTGCAGGTACCCTCGGCTCTGAAGTTGGGTATCTTTCCACAACGGAAGCACTCGTGGTGCCGCGTTCAAATTGACAGGGAGAACCATGTCAGGTAGATGTCTTGAGAACTTTTTTATCATATCGGCCAGCTCCCTCAGATCCATGTTCTTGGATTCATGTCCAGCATCACTGACAGTGACTTGCCCATTTTCCACGGTTATGTTTCCGACGCCAGGGTTTGACAATGCCGACTGAACACGTCTACGGAGCGTTGCTGGTGGCAGAGACCAGAACACGTCCAAATCGTTATCAATTTGCTGGAATTCATCTACAATAGACGAACCAGAAGCATATTGGTACCAGTCACCGAAGTGGGGGGGTGGTGATCTGCCGCCATGGCGTTCTCTATATATCACCACCGCCGTAGCAAGAGTCGTACTCGTAGAGGCCTTTGTAAGCCAACGGTCATGGATCGTACGAGCCTCATACATGAGTTCGTTTATCGGATGGCGCTTATCGAAATATTCGAGCGGATAGATGAATGTGAATCCTGTAGCGATAATAAGAAGCAATACCATGAATGAGACGAATAATATACGTCTAACGAAGATAACCGAGCGAATATCATGTGCGTAAACGAAAAGACCTGAGCCAAAGGTTATTAGCCAAAGCGGCCCAAGGCTCGCAGCTCGTGAGAGATGCATCCAATCTCCAAGACTAAAGACGTTTATTCCGGCACGCCAAGTTCCAAAAAGAAATGTTGTTACAGTCGTGGATACAACTGGCGTCGTTTCACAGGTCCAAATGGACAAACCGATGGTCATGGTGGCAAGGGCGAAGCTATCCGTCACTACGTCAAATCCCCGCAGAAATCCAAACCCCAGACTGGCCAGATTGCTTCCATTGAGCAAGCTGGTAGTAAGCCATAGAAATGAGCTAAACAGGGAAGAAGTGAGGAAAATATTGGATAGCATTCGAAGTCGCAGCTTGAGATTTCTCATCCAAGTCAACACCCTCCACAAAAGAACAATGATGACTGCGTCAAGCAGAAGACCAGCGTACTGGAGCAAAATAGTCTGCGATCGACTATCCAGAGGCGCAAAACAAATATATGTTGATGTCACAATTTGGTTTGCTGCCACATAAGTTCCAGTGGACAATAGAAGAGCTCCGGTCGTGAACAAGGTGACTGCCGCTCTTGGACCACTTAGCCAATCATGAATGTCGTCGAAAACGCTGCGCCACGGGTCTTCCATTTCATCGGTAACTGGTATAGACCAGTTACGACGCGTCGTTATTATGTCATGAACAATTAACAAAAGGCAAAGCCATGACTGCGAATTCGGTATCAGCGGAATTCACCCCGAGATAGGAGGCAAAGATTGGCAGCATAGAAACATCCCAAATCTACCGTCTAAAAGATAGATGGGAGACTTGAACCATACCTCAACACCTGGTTTAGAGCATTGCTGCTTATAGTTGACATAATTAAAAAGCTCCAAGCGAATAACAATACAAGCTACCAGGATCGGGACTGAGCAGCGTCTTGCTCGGGCAGGAGGCAGAGTGCCAGCTTGTTTCGTAAGATCGTGTGGTTCTAGGTTTACCAGCAAGCCAGTTCGCCCATCTCTTGAAGAAGTATATCTTCCATCAGCCCCTGGGAGCCACTTCGAGGCATAGCTGGCACCAAGACAAATAAGGCCAGAGAGAAAGACAACAAGCAGTAGTAGGAGGCGAGAATAATCTGGGAATGAAATGTAAGGACGCGATTGCATAATTTTATCAAAATTGTGATTCCATACCAGTCAGAGAGTAACGCTCTAATGAATGACAAACATACATAAATGAAGCGATAGTGCTATGAGCCGACAGATCAGAACAGTAGTCCTTTGACGAACCGCCAAGTTGAAAGAACAAAACATACCACAAAGCCGAGAGCTCATGGACCACAGGCGGCGCCATGGCGTTCTCTCTTTAGCAGATGAAGATCTGCTGAGGGCGCATTTTCTGAAAAGGACGATCGTATGCAGGTCACAAGATACAAAAGCTGCCATCCAAGAAGTTCCAAGTGGTCAATGCCAACTACTTTGCTCCGTATCAGGGGGTGAGTAGTCGAGCCACAGGGAACAGGTGGCTGTGCACGACCTACTTTATTACACTGACACGCTTACATAAGCCGACAACTGGAGGCATGAACGTTTGTCCGACCGCATAACGCTAATCAATATCGTCGTTCCAGGTCACAACCTCAGCTTCTCCTCAAGAGCCAAAGCCAAGGAATCAGAAGACTTTTTGCTTTTAAACGCCAATTTTTAGAGCATTTATTTCCATGGAAATCATTAAGACGTGTTTCAAATCATGTAACGAAACTCGGATACGCCACCAGTGAAAGCCCCCATCCCCGGATCATCACCATCATGGCGGGCCTGAATGATGCGCCTTTGGTGCAATCCTTGGCGGTTCCCGCCGTTTGTATCTTGATTGCGTTTCTGGGATACTTTTCACAATACCTGTTTCAGTATTCCTCGCTCAACCCCGGTCCACCCTCAGCCAATGAAACCATCGTCTTCAATGTTTTCCTGTTATCCCTATGGTTCACCTACTACAAGACTATCACCGAGGATCCTGGTCGATATGTTTTTACGGATAAAGTGATCGAGGCCGAAGGAAGTTGGTGCAAGAAATGTTCAGCCCCAAAGCCCGCCAGAGCCCATCATTGTCGGCACTGTGGACGTTGCATTCCTAAAATGGATCACCATTGCCCTTGGACGGCAAACTGTGTCTCTATGACTACATTCCCTCATTTTTTGCGGTTTATAGTTTTCGCCAACACATCCCTTGGGATACTAGGGTACCTTCTCTGGCAACGATTCTTCGCTCTGTGGGAATCACGGCACTTGCCTGCATATCTAGGTCCGACCTTGTCAGCACTTATAGGTTTGGCTCTCACCTCACTCATATGCCTCTTCACTTCACTTGCCTTGGTCGTAATGCTTGTAACGACAATGAAGAGCTGGCTGTTCAATTGCACTATGATTGAGGGGTGGCAGGTCGAGCGCCACGACGCAGTTATGGAACGGGGAGGCCAGGATTGGTGGGATATCAATGGGTCCGATGGAAAGAAGATCAGAGTTGAAAGGGTCGAGTTCCCCTATGATCTTGGTTTTTTTGCAAACATGTCCCAAGCAATGGGATCCTCAAACTTTCTCCTCTGGTTTTTCCCATTGTCCGGGAGCCCTAAAGTCGGTAAGGATAGAACGGGCCACGGATGGTCTTGGGAAGAAAATGGATTCAATCGAAACGAAGGCATGTGGCCGCCACCAGACCCAGAAAAAATTCGCAGGGCAAACAGAGAGTGGCCTGCAGGTCACAGGGACTTCAAAGCAGAACTGAGAAATGCAGAAACTATGTCTCCAGAGGAGCAAAAGAGTGCGTTCAAAGAACGCCAATTACAGGACATGCAGAGGAGAAGCCATTTATTGGCAGAGCTAGAGGAAGTAGACGATTACGATATGCTGAGTGAAGACAGTCATGGTATTGGCTATAGTTCTGATCAAGAGGTTCATTGGAGAAACAACGACGGTGAGAGGCTACAAGATTACGGCGTTGATGAGGAAACGGAATTCTGCGCCGCACAAACAACTGAAGATGATGATGTTCCACTTGTTGAGCTCTTGCGTCGGCGAAATATTTTGCGCACCGAATGTGCCGATTAAACACGACGACATTCGTGGTTTGGTGTAAATTTGCTGTATTAGTTCTGAATGTATTAGATGGACTTGTAGCACTACTTTTTTTTTTTTCTTGAGGTTGCGAAGGACCATAATTAGAACACTGCGCATGATGAAGCAAGAGCTGTTCGACAATCGGTCGAAAATTTATTTCTAGTGAATACCAAAACTAACAGTGTCTCACAGTTCCGCCTGGTTGCATAACATGACAAATTTTTGTACGCCGCAGGTCATGGTCTCGGCGCTAACAAAAGCAATACATAAACTTCAGTCTACTACGGATCGTCTACTCTAGATCGTGACCACGTATTCAGCATCCGCTTCTACCAGTCGTCGTCTTCTTTGTCCCGTTGCATAGCATTTTTTCTTGCTAGCAATGCATCAGCCAAGCTGCCCCCTAGACTCGGTGTCGGCGTTGTACTACGACTCCCCTCAGAGCCGCTGATTCCGTTCAAGCCAAGACCGGAATCTCGCTGGGCCAGCTCACCTGGCTTGCGTCCCGCGACTGGACGTTTGGCCGGAGGTGCCGGCGGCGTTGGTTTTGACTTGGCAGCGGGAGGAGCCGGAGGTGGCCTTGGGGCAGGTGCTGCTTGTTCCTCTACATAAGCAGCGGGAACCCAAGCCTGCCCATAGTCATTCTTTGCCAGCCACCAACCTATGCGATGTTAGTTAGCCACGTTTGCTCACATTGAACAGAGCACACTGGATGCCATACCATTATTCTCTTTTTGAACTATCTCCAATATGTCTCCAGCCTTGATAGATAGCTCATTATCTCGCTGGCCGTTGAAATCATATAATACTTTGGCCATGATCTTTGGCTTTGCGGGAGGTGCGGCGGGCGGCGGCGGGGGTGGTGCTCGACTTGCTCCTCCGCTGGTGCTGTTTTGATTCCTCGTGTGACTAGGAAGTGGTTTGTTGACCGCGGCAGGAGCTGAAGTATTTGCCACACCGATAGATGCTGTTGTTTTTGCAGCTGGCGGCTGAGGAACCGCCCTCGGACCTCCTCCAGGCCTTGGTTGAATAGTTCGATTACCAGTTAGCCGTGATGGCCGGCCTCCAGGGCCTCCAGGCTTGATAAGTTTACCGCGGGTGATGGGTCGGGGTGGTACGGGTTTGGCTTTGGGCATTGGCCGTGATGCCGAGTTAGGGGGTTCTCCTTGTTGTGTATGGATTGTACCACTCTTATAGAAGTCAACTGGTTGTTGGGAGTCTTTGGCTATCTTGACCTGCTGGAATTTGTTCGGCTTCTTCGCGTACTCAATCACGTCGCCTATTTTGAGATTGAAGCCTCCCGGCATGACTCGCTGCATATGAGTAAACATTTCGGTTTTGAGGACACAGTTCATCAAAGGATCTGACTCCTGGGCCGATCCCACTCCAAGAGAGAACCAATCATCTCGACGAGTAGACGTTCCAATGAATTTGATGGCACCGAGGGGAATAGCTCGTTCGACTGAAATCTGAAATTGGCCGTTGATGAGCAGCTGGGCAATGATGTAGAACTTATTATTTGTGACAACAATCAGGCGAGGGCTCGGCTTGCTAGATCGTCCAAATTTTGCCTCCAAAATTTCTCCACGGCAAGAGAACATCACCCGTTCATTTGATCCAATATTAGCTGCGTTCCTTATCTGTGCGCCAGGTCCAGCCGCCGCATTAACGCCGAGATAATCTCCAAGAAATCTTCGAGATCCCAGTAAACTCATCCGTCTGCGCTCTTTTCGGCCTTGAAGAAGCTTGTGCCCATGATCCCGAAGTTGCAGATACTCGGCTCCTGTTCGTTTCTTCCGCCACATTCGTTGAATGCGGGTTGCAGATTCAGCACGGTAAGCTAGGTATGCACGCCACATTCTCTGAATACGAGTGGCCATGTTATGCCAATACCTATCACGCATGTGCTCCAAGGCAAATAGAGTCTCTGGTGATTTGATGAATGCCTTGGTCACGCCAAGTTGCCACTCCTCTTTGGGAATGCTGGTGTCCTTCAGAATCTGCTTTACAGCTTCTTCTGTCGAGCCTTGCCACGTGTACTCGCCAGCATAAGATGTAGCCGGTGATAATAGGAAAAACCGTTCGACAAACTTGTCAAAGGATTGACGATACGCGAAACCAGCTCGCCGTATACGAACATTCTCTTGTAGGCCCAGATATTTGACCTGATGAAGAACATTGGGACTGTTGTATTCGCTGGGCGACTTATTCTCATTCGGTTTGATCGTTCGGATATATGACGGCTGACATTTCATCAATGTGTCTACCAACGCATTTGCAGAGGTACGAATTCTATCTCCTGCCGAGGGCGGCTGTTTTCTATTATCTTGGTCAACTTGGTGGGGGAAAATGGTGTGTACGAATTGATTGCCGCTGTGTTGAAAGAGATTAAGGAGTCCCTTCAATAATTGATCTTTGTTCTTATCGGTGATGCCGTCCACAGTATAAGAGACATCTCCTGCATAGTGCTTAACGATGAAGCTTCCCTGTCGAGGGGTCAAGTGAGCGTGTGACATGCCATTGATGCTCTGCATAAATGTTCTGTCACAAGCGGCAGGGTCGGCATGTGCTGTCTTGGTCGCATCCTTCATTGCAGAGAAGATTCCAGGGGGCCTGATCTGTTCAATCAATTCACAGACGACTTTATTATCGAAATATTTGATTGGTGTCCACTGGATCTTCTCACGGGCATATTCTTCCTGCTCCGTCTTCAGTGTGAGCTGGATGAAGATTTGCTGAAGCTTTTCATTGACATAATTGATGCAGAGCTGCTCGAAACTATTCTTTTCAAATATTTCAAATCCGTAGATATCCAAGATGCCAATGGTGTTCGCTGTATCTTGTCTCGATTTCAGAGACTTGTTGATTCGCTCCACAATCCAATCAAACAGATTGTTGTAAATAGCTTTAGCCAAGGCGTCACGGGTAGCAGTTGCCTGTGCTGGGTTGCTAGGGGACTCGATAACTTCGCCATTGCGCGGCGTGAGAATTCGAATAGTGATGGCATGGATCAGTTGGTCCGGTGTCACCTCCATCAGGTATGCGACAAAATCCACCACTGACTGGTCAGTGACAGCAGCATATCCAGTGTCATCTTCGCGGAACTGGATATTGCCAATCCACAGGATGGTAGCCAGCATGCGAAATATCTCATCTTGTTCGGTTTGACTGAGACCAATTATCTTCATCGCATTGATCGTGTCTTGGAAATCGGCAATGTCATCGATCCCATCGACATCGAAGCATTTGGATCGGTTCGTGTATGCATATGTCTCTGGTTTTTGAATACCGAAGAGCTCTTGGTATTGCCTTGAAGCACCTTTCGTGAACTGGTAGAAGATGTGAAAGTTTCTTTCGTTTGTAATCTGGCCAACAACACGAGACTTTTCGAGTAGGTAATTCGTGATATCGGCGCCAACCGGCTCGCCAGTGGAGTTGAAGTAGATTTGCAAATACTTGCCGAATCTCGAAGAGTTGTTGTTCCGCAGTGTTTTTGCATTTCCAAACGACTCTAGTAGAGGGTTGGTCGCAAGAACCATTTCTTTAATCTTCTTGATATCTCCTGACTGTTCTCCAGAAACATTCGCAATATATTGCATAATGCGCTTGGCGGCCTCAGTTTTACCAGCCCCAGATTCGCCGGAAATAATGACACACTGGTTGTCATTATAAGCTTTCATATTATAATAGGCGGATTCGGCGATCGCGAAGACGTGCGGGGGCATCTCTAAGCGATTTTTCCCCTTGTAACTTTCGAGGACATGGTCAGTATAAATGCCGAGATCACGAAATGGGTTCACGGAGACAAGCACATGTCCAATGTATGTGTATATCTCTGCACCCTCGAATCGCTTCTTCAGGTTATCATTGATAGCTTCGTTGGAAACCTTGCTCAGTAAGGTCAGGTCTGATACTCCGATCTCCTTCTTTTTGGTTGCTTCAAACGTGGCCTTTTTTGGTCGTCCGCCGGCGGCGCCCTGTGTTCCCGGTGCGCCGGATTGAGCATTGCGCACAGCTTTGTCCTTCGGACGCCTTGATATGCCCTGTTCAGGTGGTAACGATAATGTCAGTTAAGGAGGCATTACAGGTAAGTTTATCAAGCCACTTAGGCTTATCAGCCAATATCGCCTACCATGTCAAGAGAGTGAGAGTGAGCCGAAAGACGAGTAGTGCGGTGAAGGCGTGGGGTACAGGGAATGAAGTTCTAATCACGCATCAACAGGCTGGTCCCGAAGCGGGGAGAGGTTGGTGATCTTTTCGGGAGACGAGTGAAAAGGATATCAGACAAGGAATGTTTGTGGTATTGCCAAGTTCCTTTTGTCTCTTTCAAGGAGGCGCTGAATGCGATTGATGCCCTCGCCAGTCGATGATGTGGTGCCTGACGGTGACGAAACGCCGACAATTTTCCGGCGCAGCACAGCCTCTCGTGCATACGAATCAGTGGCGGTGGAGCTGATTCTCAGGCACGGATTAGCTAAGCAACCAACTTGGGCTGCCTTTACGATTTAACTCTACTTGTTGCTTGCTGTATTCTCGAGTGATATTTCATGTGTCGTTTGCTATCTTTTATCCTGCTGCTTTTTTTCTCGGTTAAGTTAATGTGTTGCGATCTAATACTCTGCATACCGAGATATTCAAGATCTGCGCATGTGGGGTGTGACGCAGTTGTGCATCAACGTTGACCAGCATTGCTGGCATACCCTACGCAACGCAACGTGAGTGCTCAACGATGCTCATTTGCGTCTTATCTGCACAAATGCTGCACCCATGTTTCTGCCTGTATCTTGAATCTTGTGTCTACTTCAATGTGATGCAATTGGGGTGTCGGACAACTGCAAATAAGGCTCCAGTTGTTACCGCGTGCTCATGGTAATGGAAAGTCTGGATCTTCATTTTCATAAATCCCCGAGGGGCAAGAATTCGATCTGGGGATAGTACGTGTGCCGACGCATTCGTCGCCTTCACTTGCGACCATGTCTTCGAAAAAGGGAACAGCAGAGGAAATGAGCATTGCACATGGATCGAGCGTACCTCTCATACCTAGGTACCTTATCTGGTTCGAAAATGTGCAAAGAAGCAAAGCACTCCTCTACCTGCAGCAACATCGAACTCTTGCCAAAACAGCTGGGCCCAAAGCTCTCCACATCTTGGCGCACGAGGCTCCAAGCGCGCATGTCGAGGTTTCCATATGGCGTCCTCGACCGCGGGGTAACTTCTATGGCCCAGGATCAATCACCTAGCTGCCCCATGAATACGTGAAATTCACACCGTACAGGGTACATACCGCTTACGCGCGCGGGCCCTGATTCTGGCCACAGTTTCCTGGCTCATCAACTATGATAAGACAGCTCATGAGAGTTGTTGTTCAATACAAGCACTGCTCCCAACCCGGCCCGGAAGGCGTGGACGTAAACGTATGGAGCGTTGATGGAGGTTGTGATTACCCGTATGCAACAGTACGTATAAACCCTAGAACGGTTGAGGTTCTACTCCGTAGGAAATTGGATAGTAATTGGCTGCCACATCTTAACAGAGCACTTGGCCTCAGTGGCATTGTAAACTGCAATACTTAAGGCCTTCCACTGCCCACTTGGCCCCTCCAAGATTCCTTCGTCCTCCGCACCATCCACCCAAATTCTGGCAGCTGAGTGTCCTCAGTTCCCCGCTTTACGTCACAAGGAGGAGCTACCAAAGCCTTTTCAGACCAACGTCTGACCAACGTCTTAACACCACACGACGACAATTACACGACTATTCTACTCAAGCCGAGTATTTACAATATGTCTGAGCCTGCCGCCGTAGAACAGCAACCCCAGCGGGTCGACGAGACTCCAATTTCACCTATTAGACCAGATGCAGCCAGAAAGAACTCGCTCGAGAATCACCTGATGCACCGACCTAATCGTGCGGAGCTCGTAGAAAGTGGGTTATGTCTACACCTGAGCAGTATCTAAACTGAGTTTCACTATCGTGCTCAACTCTGCAGGTGAACAGAACTTACTGATAATTATCACTGGGCAGAGAACATCCTACCGGCATCGTCTGCCGCACCAGGCCTTCTCGCACACCAGAAAGAGGTATATGCCCATACAAAAGTCGCATGGCTGTCCCGGCACACCAGCAACTAACGCGAGTCTCAGCTGGAAAGAAGTATGCTCGAGGACAAACTCAATGACAAGATTTCTCACCGCCCGAGTCCAGAAGCCCTGGTTAAAGGCGGTGTCTTGCATGAAGATCCACGAACTGCGGACCAACAATATGAGGAAGCAATTGAAGACGAGTACGCGAAGCGTGAGGGTGGCGCTTAATCATATGGCCTCCTACTCCGTGGAATACTAAATCTGCGATTGGAAGGGTGGAGGGGCGGCGGGAAAATCGAGACAAAAAATTAATATTGTGTTATGATTCTGACAGCAGGAAGGTACAGCCTGGTCTCTTCTCTGGTCGATGTGGCGCGTACGTTGCCTACGCCTTCTGTAACCTGTGGGACATGCCTTCGTTCAGATCGGCCAGTACCCGATAATGTTCCAAGGACATTACACTGATATGCGGCCTGGACAAGAAGAGAGGGCAAGTCAACGGTGCACAGGACATGGTGACTTCTTAACCGTATTTGTTTTTTATTGACTGCCGTATTCTGGTGAATATTCAGATGTGGCATCTCGTTTCAGTCTTTCATGATGCAACGGGCATGTTTGTTGCGGCTAACTGGGGTGCGATGCATATTCTTCAACTGCCGAGTAAGTATTGAGAAGCGAGTGCTGCCTTGCAACGTGCAGCGTCGAGGGATATTTGACGTCTATCTCTAAAAAAACAACGGGTAAACCTAAGAAGTGTGTGCTGGCTAACTGTACTGATTGGGTCGAGGGGAGTAACTCCACTGCCGCTAATATTGAGAAGACCTCGTGGTCTTTATTATCCCTTATTTTAAACTCGATACATGGTTTTAGTTTTCTTCTACCCGTTATGCTCACCAGTAAATCAAGTCCAAGACAAAAACTCCATGCCTCCCGAGTCCAAAGCAAAGATGCTAACCACAAAGTTCCATCCGCGCGCCGTTTCTAATATACAATAAACAATATTCATCAGAATTTCAAAGAAAGAAAGAAAGAAAGAAAGAAAGAAAGAAAGAAAGAAAGAAAGAAAGAAAGAAAGGAAAGAGATGGAAGGGGAAAAGCAATGTCGAACGAAAAGTCGCAATTCACGACCACTCTAACACCAGGCAACTATCACGATCGGCGATGGGGGTTACCGTAGCCGGGGCTAGGTGATCCGTGTTCTTGTCCTGGTCTGTTGTGATTGACAACCTTGGTTCCATTCGACGATGTATTTACTTGAATCGCATGCTTATCTGTTTTACACCTGTCAGATGTCTGAACCTGAGTACTGTGCCAAGAGTAAGACGAGGACTTACCACCTCCATGCTGTCGGTAGGTGCCAGGAGACAACGAGCGACAGCTCGAACTTTCCATAGAACTCGCGTATGATTCGCTGGAATAAGAGTAGGAGCTTCCGACCGAGGCAGCCCGGCTTGATTGGTGTACCTGAACTTTGTATGGAGCAGGCATTTAAGACGTTGGCTTTTGAAACTGCTGATGTGTCTGAATGAAGAATCAGGGCTGGTTGGGGTGCGTGTAAATAGACAAGAGAGGTGATGATCAACTACTTGAATGCGCTGGAGGTGGCTCTATGTGTACGAGGCTTCAGAATGTATGAGATGGTATGAAACTAGAGTATGGAACAAGAGAGATGTGACTGGAACATTGAAGGGGAAGACGCTGATATATATGTATACCGGATATGTATGCATGGAGACTGAGATAGGGTCGGCCAGCAAAGGAGAAGCCGGTGGCCTGAGGGCTCGACCGTGGCACTGTCTAGTTGAGAATGAGGCAAGCATCTTTGTTTGATACGAGCTTTGCCAGGGCATGTTCCTGATGGGGCTTCAAGAGCGGGAATGAGTCAAAGGGGTGCACCCCTAGTAAAACCCAAGTGTGATGACGAAGACATAGTCGTCAGAATTCACGGCGAAAGAATTATAGGGCAAGAGTAAGAGTAAGGCGTAACATGGGCTTGGTTGGCTAGGAATACTAGGATCATGCTGGCCTCGTCTCGATTTGCAATAGTAACAAAAGCATAGCCTACGGAGACAGCGGCAAGTATTGTTCTCTGTTCCATCATAAGCGAAGACGAGGCGGAAGTGGCAAAAGTTGGCCGCGTGCCCAACCAAGAGATTGAGCAGGGAACACGACGAGTACTAGCAACACGGCGGAAGCGGGAATGTCGCCAAGCCAAGCCAAAAAAAGAGTCCGGTTTTATCGAAAAAAAAAAAAAAAAAAAAGTCCTAGGACGTGAGCATGGATATGGCGCCAGGTCGGCAAGGCGAACATGATGGCCTGGCTCAGACCTGGCCGATGGGAGGAAGTGTCTGGTGGAGCGTCTGATCTGGTGGCACCGGACAGCACTTGAGCTCCTCTGTACACTCTGAGTAGGTCTGGTCCGGTACATATTGTTCCACTCCCTAGCACAACAGTGGTGAGCGCAGAGGTGACCACGGGAGGGAGTTGGGAAAATGGAAAATAGAAATGCGAAATGCGCAAAATGGCCGAGTCTGAGCCACAGAAGGGTGCCATTAGCCATCAACTGTGCCTTGCTGCTGCCTTCGCATCTCACCAAGTTTGGAAACCAGCACCGTCGAGCTGTCTGATGAACGCGTTGATGCGCACCGTGGCTAACGCTTTGCGAGTGCTACAACATCCGCCAACAGCCCGCACGAGGTAAGACACGTTGATAAGTAGGTACCAGCAGCCTCGGGGTTTGGAGGTGAATCTGACTGATTCGCCTACAGCCCTTCTCCCAGGCATCACCGAAAGCTGGGAAGTTGGTACACACCCCTGTCGCAGGATGCTAAGGCATTGCCTCAATAACACTTTGTGCTCACCCCTGGTGAGATGTGTGAGATGTAAGGCCGCGGCTGAACTCTGATGTGCCTTGTCTTGCCAAACGAGTCGGATGTATGTACTATTGTTGTCAGGCGGGCTGCCTCTGCTGCGAGCCTCACATGCAATTCAAAAAGGGCGGGCTTGGCTCTGCATTGGGAGGCCATGGACGCAAAACAAGAGTCGGCCCTCTGTGGCTTTATTTCTTCCCAGACTCATAATGTCTGGTCCGACTGACACTGACACTGACACTGAGACTAGCATCGATCGATTATGCGTGTATGCAGGCGGCGACCAACCCACAGTATCTTCAGCGTACGGACCTGCAGTGGTTCCTGTAGAGCTACGAGATGGAGCCAACGATTGAGGGGAGCAAGATACGATAGGGCACGTCAGAGACACACCAGACTCTAGAGTGCATGTGGCTGTGCCTTGAAGCTGTGATTTGCCTGATGGGCTGCCATTTGCCGCGCACCTCTTGGGGTCTGACGCAGGTACCATTGGGCACCAAGTCTGCGAAAGCTGCACAAGCATCCGGTCCCAACTTGCGCTCTTGTTGTCAAAACACGATACTTTTGCCAAACACTCGGTACTTATCTTAGGTACCCGTTTAAGACGTCGATACTTACTTCGCGTCTCCGCGAGCGCCTTCTCCGGCAATGTCTTCTGTCGTAGTATAACATGCCTATTACGGGGGCAGGGAAGTAGAAGTAGCTGCCAAGGGGCGGGCCAACTCGAGTAGAGACGAATCAACACAGATATAATACCTGGATGCCTTGATATATGTGTGCTACCAATGGGGACGCATCCGTGATTGCATATTTCTACATTGGGTGCCCAGGTGCTCAAGGGTTTGTGTTTTGGGGAATCCATGCTCTAGTAGGAATTTGGAAGGTCCAAGTGCCAACATCTCATGCGCTGTGCAGCCATCTAAACATTGTCATCAGGCGATTCCCTCTTGAAGTATTGTCTGGTACAGTGTACCTGAGCCTCTAGCGACAGGCTTTGTTCTCAGTGACTTCAATGTTCTGACATTAAAAAATACGTGCGCTTGAAAGTCTGGTCAAAAGAGTTAGTATAGAGGAAATACCTGAAGTATCCAGCTACTTAATTTTAAGTACTTAGACTTCTACGTGCTGCGATAGGCACCTAGGTACTTTGCGAAGTGTTTTAATCGCGAACGTGCGACGTAGCTCTGTGGCATTCACTGTCGTGCCTCTGACTCCCGAGCCCATGTGGCCTGGTGGAACATTGATGCATAAATGCTACTTGACCAGGCAACCAGGCTACCAGTCTGTACCGGCCAATTGGTATGACCTGTGAACATGTGTATTACCCCGTAACAGGCTTCAAATGTGACCTGTGACTGGTCCACAGGCCCCCTCCCGCCCGCTTACCTGCCCGACCCAGCCACGTTGTCACTTCTGTCAATTCACTTCAGAACCTTGCAACATCCTCGACTCAGGTACGGAGCAGTCGACCCGTCTCCTTTCTTCCGTTGCAAACCGGTGTGCCCATTACCGAAGCTTCTACCCACTCACCTGCCCAAATTAATTTTACAGCGCCTGAAGATGAAGTCTATTACATTCTTGTCCGTTCTCGCCGCCTCCGCGGTTGGCCTTGGTGCTGCGGATGGCCTTAAGATTGACGTGACACACTCAGTCCAGTGTGACCGCAAAACTCAAAAAGGCGACAAGGTCGCCATGCATTACAAGGGCACACTGGGGGACTCAGGAAAAAAATTTGATGCCAGTACGTTCCATTCTTTGCAACTTGTGCATTTATACCGTCAAATGGTGCTGATTGTATTTACTCGAAAAGGTTATGACAGAGGCCAGCCGCTCCAGTTTACGTTAGGGGCTGGACAAGTCATTGCAGGGTTCGATGCCCTGATGTCTCCGGTCTTGTATGATAGAGCTAACGAAAGGATGGATTAGATGGGACAAAGGCCTTCTTGACATGTGTATTGGAGAAAAGAGGTTTGTCTCAATATTCGTGACTCTGTGCACTGCTTCTGGTTAACATCTGCAAGAACATTGACCATCCCCTCCGAGCTTGCCTATGGCGACCGTGGTATCGGCCCCATTCCCCCAGGCGCCACTCTAAGTACGTTGACCCTGTTGTGTCATGCTCAAAGTTTTGGCGATGCTCATGTTGACATATGCCGTGTAGTCTTTGAAACCGAATTAGTTGGAATTGACGGTGTCGCCCCCCCGGAGAAAGAGACAGGAAAAGACGAAGCAAAAGAGAACAAAGAAGCCGATAAAGCTGGCGAAAAGGTAATCACAGTCGTGCTCAAAGCTACTGAAGCCCCTAAAACGTTCATGGCTGACAACAGATGATGTACAGGGCCACGAGGAATTGTAGTCGTTGTTCATCGAGCTCATCAGCAGGGGTTATTTGGAATATCTAAGCGTGGACTGTCGAATTAGTCATGAAGATATGTGTTTGTTCATCAATAGCCTCACTGAATGTAAGCTCTCTTATTCCATGTGTTCTATTCGATTGTGATCACAGGCACAATCATAATCATCACAATCATAATCATACAACTCTGTCTATGTGGTTGATTCGAGCCCTTAAAGTGGCAAGTGGAACATGTAGTACTAGGGCCAAGGTAATGTGTCACGAATGAGTATCATTACACATGCGTGCCGTGTATATTCATCCAAACGAAAGCCTTTTCTGCTTTGGATCTCCTGGAAGAACCTTTTCCTTCTTCTTGTTCAGAGACAGCCGCTTCAATTCAGGCTGAACCGCCACTGCCTTCATTGGTATCTGACACTGAACTGCGTCTCGTATCGTCTTCCGCGATAAACAAAGGTCAATGTGGTTGTTAAACGTCTTTTCATTAGCCTCTTGTGGCCGAAAGCAAATAGGGCAGTCCCACCACTCTTCTCTTCTATCCAGCCCATGTTTGTTGGGATTAGGTACAACCTCCTTACCATGTCTGCCAAGTTTGGAGCTCTCAAAGCTTTGATTATTGCATAATTGACCAGACGCCACGCTTGGGATGTAATCTTCAGCGGGTAGGCTTTCCAATACCTCGGTCTTGTCGTACGTTATTTGGCTCTCTAAATTCTGGTTGGGCTGACACTGGTCTCCCGTACGAGTCATTTCCTTTCTTCTGAGACCAAAGAAAGCCATTGTGTCTGGCTTTTTGGTGCTCACAAGATGCGTACATCGCAATCCCATTAGTCTAAGTTTCATAGCTGGTATCTCTTGCTCGAGCTTTGTGAGAATCGGTAGAGAAAAGTTGTACAGCTCATCAGCAGAGCATATGGCCCGCGGCATTACAACCTGTCGGGTAAAGACCTCGAACGTATGTAGTTTTATCTTCAAGCAGAGAGTTCGGCCTTTGCAATGAGCTCTTTCCATATCTTTTTCTAGTTCCTCGGCTGTCCATCGCAACTTCTCCCTTAATTTCACAGAATCCGACAACTCTCGAAACGTGCTCTCCGTTCCGATGCTCTTTCGCTCGTATTCCTCGGCAGGTTGTATCTTCGTACGGCCAAGTCCAAGGTAGCAGCCGATCAGAAACTCGAAAGTTTTGTCCCCAAACAACATGTTGAGATATTTCCTTTGATCGTATATATCGCCGCAGGTTCTCACACCGAGCTCCAAAAGCTCACGTTCAAGCACGCGACCAATACCATTTACTTTCCTGGTTGGCAAGTCTCTCATGAATGCCATGATGGATGTACGATCGGACGGTAGCACGTACTGGCCATTCGGTTTGTTCATGTTTGAGCAGATCTTCGCAAGTTTTGTGTTTGCGGCAATGCCGGCTGACACTGTTATATCTGTTTTTTGGTAGATTTCTCGTCTCATTTGCTCAATGACTTCAGCCGGAGTGGCATCTTGGTCGTGGCAGTACTCGGTTATGTTGAGGTAGGCTTCATCTATACTTGCACTTTCAAACCGTGGGTCGTAATCTGCAAGAATCTCTCGAATCTCCTGGGCTTTAGCTGTGTATTTCGGAAAGCTTGGCTTAATCAGAATCAAAGAAGGGCACAGCTTTTTCGCCACAAAACCAGCCATGCCGGATCGACACCCGAATTGTCTTGCAACATAGTTGCACGTCGTTAACACACCTCCGCCAACAGCAAACGGTACGTCTTTGAGCTCAGGACGTTCTAATTGTTCTACGGCTGCATAGAAGGCATCGCAGTCAATGTGAACAATATGTTGGGTAAGGTCTCTTGACAGTTCGAACTCATGAATAACGCGATCCGCATTTCGGAGTTCCTGGGTGAGGTCCGCCTGTTCAAGCTGACGTTTTCTTGCAAGAATTTGTTCAATCTTTTTTGTTAAAACTTGGTCTCTAACCTCCTCCCGGTTAAAGAATTTTGAACCTCTGGAGGCATTGTAAATAATTTCTGATACCTGCGTCACCGGTTGGTATAAGAGTATGTATGAAGGTGAGGGACAGGAAGGGGACGAAGTCGCAATCCTACTTTACTTTGGTCCACTTTCTCTTGGCCAGCTTTGGTCAATGAAGGGCCAAGTAGATGATATTTGAGGGTCTTCGATGTCCCATCTGATTCCACGGGGTATGCCGCAGCATCTGCGCAAAGTTGAGGACTATTGCTCGCAGCCATCCTGGGAGTGACTTGACTCTTTGGGAAAGCGCCAGGCGCAGATGAAGGGGATTGGCTGATATAGTACCACCCCTATTCATCACAAGGAACAAATCCTAGAGGAAGAACAGAGTATCAAGGCCAGAATGAACGGAGAGACTGCGATGATCTGAAGCTTATCCGTCAATGTGAGCGTGAGAGCTGTTGCGACGCGAAACGCGAAGGCACGTGATTGCTTATATTCGTTAGTCTCCACTAGTGCTACGACAGCTGAGTGGCCCACATATGACACTACTCTGCACGACCTTTTTGGTGGAGTATCACATCTGCCATCGCCTCAATATGGTCCTCTTATTGGCTGCTACAGGCTCAAATAGGGACAATTAAGCGCTGAGGAAAACGCCATTCAAGGGTCACTGCATATCCTGTACAAGCAAGTACGGAGTACGTTCATGCGATCAAAGCCATTACAGACGACGTTGACCGCCATGGCTCCATCAGCGCGTGCGAAGGGCCGGGAGTGGCACCTGGGGCCTGGCAGTACAAAAGGCTGACCTACTGCAGGATGGCTTGACTTTCCCCGCAACCCTCCGTCTTTAATACCATTGAGCTCGATGTCATTCTGAGAGCTTCTTGGGCTCGTGGCCTTTTAACCAGATCTCATTTGGTCAAAGTTTTCACACGAAAAATGGCAGCGCGAGCCGGCGAGGAGAACGTAGCTACACTGTGAGTCGATCTATCCGGTTTTCTGGATGGTCCATGAGCAAATTTCTGATCAGAAAATTTGGGTTTCGTTAGATTTGGAGACGTACATTACTTCTATGAACCTGAAAATGCCAGGCCGAGGCATCATCGTTTTGACAAAGGTTCATATGTGTACCTTTTTGAAAATGCGCACGACAGAAGGTGCCGCATAGAGATAGCGAATCAGCCAGGGACTGATGAGCAGGATGCTTTTGACGGGTGTGAGGACCTTACCGGCCCTAAAAACTAGATTTGAACAGATCAAGCTAATGATGACATTATGCAGTTCTTGACCAAGCCCGTGTGAGATACTCTTACAAGCAACACTGTGCTGTGTCTCTTATTGTGGCCGATTCTGTGGATCACAATGAATGGCATCTCCCAACCTACGATCCGAGAAATGACAAAAAGTACCATTATAAGTTACATTCACTCGATATTTACTTTTGGACCCAAAGTGATGCCCTTCGATTCGTCAATGGTGTGAGAAGAGTCTTGCCGTCCGTCCAAGTGGAGGTTTTGGACGAACCCTGCCATCAACAAACTATAGGAATGAGTTCAGTTGTCCAGAAGCTCGAGAATGTAGCTGTTTCAGACCCGCAGTACGGAAATACTACTTCTTCATCATCGGAGATTGTATCTCAAGAACCCACAGTTGATCCGGCTCCGGCAGCTTCGCTTGACGTACTAGTGAATCCGCTTCCTCCTCCGCCGCCGCCGCCAGCCAGTTTCGCCCCGATGGCGTATAATCCTGCCGCACCGGCAGCACCAGAGACGATAAGACATCGTGAAAAAACACCACCACCTGATGAAGATCCGTTGAACCCATTGGCAGTGGCCGTTGCTCACGATTATCAAAAACAACCGTTCACGCCAGGGTTTCCTCCGCAGCCACAACTTTCACTCGGAATGGCCAGTCCTGGGCTGCCGCCAAATATCAGCAACACTTCTAGTTTGCCACTTCAATTTGCCGGGCCTCCTAATCAACCAGGTACACAAAGAGCCGCAACAATGCCTGCAAATTCAGGATCGGCCTTTTCAGGACCCCCAGGGTCTCCGGGCTTTATACCACCGCCACCTCCTCCCCAACCGTCGACCCAAATCCCTGGGCACGGCACTGTCGCTCCTCCCGGAGGTTTCTCTAACTATACATACAGCCATCAGAGTACCTTGCGGCAAGATGGTCAGGATTATTCCATACATCAACAACTATATCGGCCAACCGAGATCGAATTTGGCATGAACAAGCCACATCAATATCAACCTAAAACAGAAACACGAGGAAGGCTAGAAGAGAATGCGGGACGCCTAGAGAGAGGCGTTTCTGGCATGCTGAAGAAGTTTGAGAAGAAGTTTGGCTAGACTGTGGAGGAGCTCTACGTTCGACGCTGCTGAGATCCCCAGCACTCTGCGTGGGCAGGTGAGGCGCATGGGGATTTCAATATGTGCTGTCTTCCAACATGCTGAGAAATTCATAGGCGATTAGGAGCATAGAACCTAATGTTTCTTTTTGGATCGAAGGTTGTGCTAGGGGTGCCCTACCCGTGGGGAAGTTCTGACGAGTCGTTCCCACGTACAACTCGGCTCTCTCTCTCTCTGGCGTTGACCTTTCTTCCCTGGTGACCGGATGGCGTCGGTGTTGTATAATACTAAGCTCGTGTTTGACTGATGACTGAACGGTCTGATGCACCTAATAGTTATAGTATGTACGTTTCCATTGTCCCATTATCACCATCCTATTCAAGGGCGTGTGTCTGCATCTCAGTTCCTGCCGATGCCAGAGCCTTTAACCGTGGACAGCCAGCCACACTAAATGTCATTTAACTGGAAAGATATATAGCGCTTGTAAGCCTGGCCACTCTGCAGCACTATGCCGATATTCATTTGGACTAATCACCTCCAAATGGCTGTTTTCTCTGAATAAACTTATCTGTTGTTTCCTTGACTATTCTTGTGGCCGCGAAGGGTTGGCTGCCGTTGGCGTTTGGGCCATGTAGCTCATGGTACACCAAAAATACCTAAGTGGGCAGGTACTTTTGTGTGTGAATACTACCTACTAAGTACCTAGATACATAGGTACCTAGGTAGGTAGTAGTCACTAAAGTACGTGCCCCACACTCACCTGTTATCTGCCTCAAGGTGAAAACTGGATGTTTGAACGTCATTGTGGCTGTTCCAAACCTTGACCTTCGGCCAGCCATTCTCATCCCCCTATTGGCTGGACAGCTAAAATGGTGGTGGCTGAGGTCGCCATGGCGGCTGACTACAATGGTGGATGACATTGCCTGAGGAGCTTTTTGCGATACGAGCCAACAGGTTTACTAGGTCCTACGACGTTCTTTGTCTTCACCATTTCAAGCAATAACCAGTCACCGAGCGCCGCCTTTAACAGTTTGTAGTGCGACCCAAGCTCCGAGCTGTACGTACTTGTTGTGCGTCTGTCTCGAGTTTGCTCAACGGATACAACTCTTCGGCCAACGTCTGGCCTAAGCTCCGTGATCTAGCCGGGCCAAGCCATTGAAGAACATATCGATCGGCCGCCGAGGAAACCACACTTGAAATAGTCTATTCTGGAATTATTCCCCGTTTTAGCCTTGTTATATGCCAAGTCATGTAGTCATTTCTCTATACGGTAACAATTGGGAAAACATGCGTCTCCCACATCCACCTCTTCCGCGAACTTCCACTTCACACATCGTGACCGAACCCACCAGGCAGCTACGTCGCCGAGACCTTAACACCAAAAATTTGACATTTATTGTATGTTATTTTGTTCATACTCGGAATTCAAGTCCTGCTGTCTAACAAAAGACACTCCACAGATTATTTTTGTCGTCATTGCGTTATTTGCCTTCATAGCGGTCCTCCTTGTCGCTTTTTTTAGAGCACGTCGTCGCCGGCCAGACGATCAAGATGCGGGATCAGGCGGGCAATGGCCAGTCCTTCACGTGTTCAGGCGCAAGCGAGTTGGTCATAGAAGATATGAGCAAACTTCTGGTGAGAATCTCGATGGCGAAGCACAGATTCATCAGCTCGAACCAACGGCAGTGTCTGCCAACCATGTCAATACCCTTCAACGAGATTCACGACAATCGGGGAGCAGAGCGGCACGGGCGAACCGAACCGGGGCTTCGGTTGACCGGAACACCTCTGTTCGTTCTGTGATGACATTACCCGCATACCGTGCTACTGCTGGGAATAATGAGCAGGTTCTTGGGAGAGAAGGTGATAGAGATGGTGTTGACGTAATTGTCGACCTCCCTACCGCTGAGGAGGAGGAATCCTTACGAGAAGAGGAAATGGAAGCAATATATCAAATTCGAATTGCTAGACGAGAACAGATTGCGCAGCGTGATGAGCTGAGGCGACAACGCCGCGACGCTCGACAGCGAGGTGACAATAATACTTTGGCCGATGATAGGGCACGATCTCGCGCTGCTAGCAACAACAGCAACCTTGACGAACTCCGCCAAGAAGTTAGTCGTATACAAGACCAGCGACAGAGATCTGTTTCCAGCGTTTCATACGCAGATTTGGGCGTTGCGCGACACGACGGGACTCGGATCAGGGCGAGTAGCAACGAAAGTGAGCGTATTGGTCTACTTTCTGATGCTGCCAGCATCGCAATTTCAGCCCGATCTGAGGTTGCTTCATCATTGGGACTACATCGCCGAGAACAAAGCGTCAGCTCTTTGGTTAGTGTTGATAGTGAATTTATCCCGGAGCCATCCAGGGCACGGGCGAATTCAGGATCTACTACACCAGGATTGCTGAGCGGAGAGCCCGCAGCTGGGTCCAGCCCGGAGCATGTGCAAGATGACTTGGGAGTGGAACCAACCCCCCCTCCAGGGTATGAGGTTGTGTCTATCGAAGATGATGACAGGGAAGTGGCAGGACCGATGACCCCGTTGAATGAGCCGCCACCGGATTATTCTGGACCAAATGAGCATATGCCGCAGACTGAACAGACATCAACAGAACCTGCTCATCCAAGTCCACGAGAAGGGAGAACGCCGTCTCCGCTACGTACAGCACGGGGGGTTGGCGGCGCACCTCAGTTACCTAGCCTGCGGATATCCAGGCTCCCGGCGATTGTAATCCAGCCACTGAACGAAGAATCTCGAGACGAGAATGTATTATGATAAGATGGGAGGTGATGCTGGGCCTTAACGAATGATGACAGTTGCGTGGCGTTTTGGATATTTTTTTGCCGCTCTGTTATTTATTGCTCTGAGATTTTCTAGTTCAGCACTTTTCAACCTTGGCAAGCAACTTTTCTTAGCGGGAAAACATATTAATGGATGGATGTCTCGCTTTGCTGTTCACGTGGACGGCAATTCTGAAGGCATCTACTTCTGTTCGCTGTACGTTGCACGGTTTTTGTCCCTGGGTAAAACGGCATTCGGAATTATAGAGTATATATCTATACACATGGCAGTCAGTTGAATGGAAATATAGTGTTTTTAGCCACCATACCCCCTTTTGGTACTCTTCCATACTAACCCCAGCGTACATTTTAGATTCCGGTCGGGAGCAGGACAACATTGATGAACCAAATGACGCGGTTTTGTTGAGAGGATTTTGAGAGTGAAAGGGGAGGCAGGAGGACACTGAGGGTTTGATCTACTACTTGCCTCTTGCACTGCTGTACGGTGTGTCCGTTTCGCTACTCCCAGTTGAACATTGGTAACGGCCGTTGGGGGAAGAGTTCTCCCTCCGGTTCACTACAATAGGTCATGAAACAGTGGAGTCCAACTACCTACTTAAGTACCTAGGTAGGTAGGCATTCCTGCAATGTTTGTTTCCAAAGCTCGAGGAGCTGCCGTTACAGAATCAGGGCTTGTAACTATTTGCTGGGCGTCTATTAAATGTATCAATGATGGGGCATGGAGTGGTTGAGTACATGGAAATCTACATATAAGCGTGCGGCCCCTATTTTTGAGGACAGCACGGCCCTCACAGGACAGGCCTTGAATTTCCACGGGTCGTTGAAGAGTCTGACTCAATAAGAACTTTGATAAGCTGTCTCGTCATTGCCTACTTTACGTGCTTAGCAATGGTCACCAAAACCCCTTGGCCCCTGGGTACCCACGTAACTAGATAGATTTTCTTGATGTCCGAGGTGTTTTAGATGTCCGTTGTTTACCAATCAATTGACCACCCTCTCAGGAGCTGTAGATGGGTGTGGACATGGGCATGCAAGATGTTGCGGCCATGCACCAACATTAAAAATCATTGGGGTTGAGCTTATCCAAGCGTTAGCTAAGCCAGTGTCGGCTCGATGGCAACATGGTTTGGGCTGCGGGGTCTTGGTAAGAATCAGTAATACTTGACTATTTGGTGGAGAAGTTCCTGCCATCCAAGAGCATCGTACCGATACCTGATACATTGCGGATGAGTCCGGCTCCCTCAAGTCTCCATGTCGTGCTACTGCACTGACTTATCTAAGTACCTAAATACTTGCAGTGATTCGACCAGACATTTCAATGTTGAGAATACGCCAGGCCGTAGATATGTACAGTGGCAGGTCTCTCCTGCTCGTTAGACATTCCATAACTCAGGCTCCAACCGCATATCTATGGGCTTGAAGTGGGGTAAGCGGCGGTGCTGGGGGCGGGGTGCTGGTGTAATACAATATTTGCGTCCACAGAGCTCTGGACCTTGCTCACTTTCAAGTGCCCGGTTACTCAAGGGAGCCAAGCAATTGAATGGCCCGAGGTCTACCTACTACATACTTAAGTAAGTACCTAGATACTAGGTAGGTAGACCAGTGACATATCCCAAGTCAAAACTCTGCAATATTTTCATTGTTGGCCGAAACTGCTTGGTGCTCAGAGGTCTTGGTTGTTGAGGTGCCAGGCCAATGACTGGGAAAGTTTGGTTGGCTTGATTCCATCAGGGCTCTTGAGAGGAATAGCGTCACATTGAGTGGTGACAGCAAGCACGACGCAGCTCGGCCCATTGACATACCAACGCCCCCCGCAGCCAACTTTGAAGGTACTGGTACATCCATGACATAACGACTCTGAAGGCCAATGTTGCAGCTACTTCCTGTCCAAGTGCGGGAGTTGACATCAGGCTAATGCTTGCCAAGTGGATTCGTTGGGCGAATGTTACACTGAGATGTCTGGTTAGATTGCCTTTGAATTGCTCAAGCAGCTCGAAGCTTTCTGGGCTATAAGAGCTCCGCGTCCTCCGACTCTCTTTATCCTTTTCCTACCGCCTTGATTTACGCTTTACTAATCTATCGACCTTCACGTATCTATTGACTACCCTTCTGTTCAAAATACACGAGGTTTCTGTAACAGAACATCATGGCCCCGAAGATTGCCATTGTCTTTGTATGTCCTGCCAAAGTACCTCACCTCAGTTTGACTTTTAGTAAACCACCAAGAGCCGACGGTTGTTTGAAGCTTGTCACTTGGCCCTCCACTCCTTTATTTATCATTACCATCTTCTGCTTCTTGCATCCGTCCGGGTGTTTCATTCACTGACTCAAGCCCTCTCATTCAACAGTACTCAATGTACGGCCATATTCGGCAGCTCGCCGAGGCCGAGAAGAAAGGCATTGAGAAGGCTGGTGGCACAGCCGACTTATTCCAGATCCCTGAAACGCTCTCCGATGAAGTTCTAGGCAAGATGCACGCTCCTCCGAAGCCAACTGATATTCCGACTCTCGAGGATCCAGCCATCTTGACGAAATATGATGCCTTTCTTCTCGGTATCCCTACTCGATATGGCAACTTCCCTGGGCAGTGGAAGGTTTGTGACCCCCTGAGGAATATGAGGTGTCAGCTACGATGCTGTCTATAAGTACAATTTTCAAGGTTGCTTAAAACTAACGTCTGAGCTAGGCCTTCTGGGACAAAACTGGCGGTATTTGGGCTTCTGGCGGCTACTTTGGCAAGTATGCTGGACTCTTCGTGTCTACTGGCACGCCTGGTGGTGGCCAGGAATCAACGGCAATTGCAGCAATGTCCACCCTTACCCACCACGGCATTATTTATGTCCCTCTTGGGTACGCAAAGACTTTCCCCCAACTAACTAACCTCTCTGAGGTCCGCGGTGGTAGTCCCTGGGGTGCTGGTACGTTTGCGGGGGCAGACGGATCACGCCAGCCGTCTGCTCTTGAGCTTGAGCTAGCCACTATCCAGGGTGAAAACTTCTATCAAACTGTCTCTAAAGCCTTCGGATGACTGCATGATAGGAATGGCGAGAAAGGGGGTGCTTTGTCTGGAAACGGAACCCAGAAACAAGCAGCAGGCTCTTCCCCAACAAATGCCACACAACCAAAGAGAAACGAAGTAAAGGAGGGACCATGCGGATTGCCTGTTAAGTGTACGGTACTGTGAGATACCCGTGCAAATATGGATGGGGAATGCTGTTATAATTAGCATGGTTGTAGCTCAAATTTCTAGTCTACGTCTAAGAACAATTGTCTCCTCCGTTGGTGATACATATTAGCCTGTGTTCCGAAATGAAATCTCGAATCTGACCGCAGCTCAGCCACCTCGGCAATATACCACTCACCAGCTGACCCGCTCGCTTGAGGATATCCATTATTAGAGAACATTTGAGATCATGATGGACTGTCTGTAGAGTCTTTGCAAACAATAAAACGACCTTCCCAGTCTGCGATACCCGGTGTTAAGAGAAGCCCTGTTTATCTTGTTATTCCCGATCAGAGATGGACAGACTGGCTTGCCAATGAACGTCCTTTATGGTTCCCTGGCTAGAAAGAAAGTGAAATGCGTCGGTCAATGAAGAAAATGGGGATCTCTGATTCACCACTAATAAAATTCTTGATTCATGTGCTGGAAGCTAGGAAAATGTTGAACGCCATAGTAATGACTGCAATCCATGAACGCAGCCTGCTCCATGAACTTCTGAGAGCGACGGACCATCAGCCTTCGGAAATATACTTGTTTGAGACTAGGAGGAAGGAATGGCCTGAGAAGTGATGTGCCCAGCGGATGAAATCTCGGTTCTGGCTATACGATTTCTCGTGGCTGTTTGTCACTCCGTATTTGACATCTCAACTCTATAAGATAATCCCGATCCCATAAAGTAGAGGGGAGCTGAGAGCCAAAACGGATGGAAGCTGCGTGGGGCTCCGCAAAATCTCTCCGTCATTATTTGATGGTGTTCACGGATGGCCAAAGGCTTTGTGAGAGCGGAGATGTTCAAATTCCACACACCAGTCCCTACGACTACAATCATGACTACGGAGTAGCAGAAACGGAACAGGGTGGCTGATGGCATTTGTCACTGTTTGTTGACTATCGCTGAGCTGCGAACAAAACCCTGCATTGCTGAAGCAATAACACGTCCTGGACACATTGGGATGTATTGGCCTTCTGCGTTCAATATTTGTACACGGGATGTGGCTAACAGGAAGCTACCTCTGACTACCAGGTACTACCTACCTTCGCCAATACCTACTAGGTGCCGAGTGGTAGGTAGAGGTGGGAGAAGCTCTGTCAGGTGGCCTTGCTGGTAAATTGTACCTACGAAGGCTTCCGTCAACAGGGTTGGAAGTTTTCCATAAATCTCTGTCAGGGAAAACGTGCAAGTGCCTGTGATGGTGCAATCATAGAATGACTACTGAGTACGGAGTACAGAGTACTTATAAAGGAGTGCCCTGGTTATCTATAGGATGGACCTGGGGCTGGAAAAGTGAGAATTGAAGTGTCTCAAGATCAGCCTTGGCCACATTTGCTATCAAGCCCGTTGGCTTGCCGCCCAGGCTGCTCTCAACTTTCACCGGAGCCCAGAAGCAAGACGAGTTGATACGTCCAACAGCGGCCGCAGAATTTCATTACATGTTGCGATTTGTCGCAGGTGGCTGCGTGTCCCGTCTTATTTCATTTTTGGCTGAGGAGCACGTACCATTTCACAAGAAGCCTGATGCACGTATGCTGCATCATACGGTCGGTGACATGATGCACTTGGTATTTGGCCACCGCTGGCAATTATACTTTCAATATATAGTAGTATCTTATTCCAGCCATGATAGTTCTGGTAGGCCGATAGTACATTGACTTCTCAATGACCTCATCTCAACGGAGATGCGGCCCAACCAAGTTTCTCCAACTGTCTGCCCAGGTTCTAAAGTTAGGAAAGGGATGGCTCCCCGGCCCTTTTCCCCACAGGTTCATCCAATAATGACCCCGGTGCCACGGCCCATATAGTACATAAGTACGCCACATGCTGGAAGCGCCAGACATAATCTACTTAAGTACTAAGTAGGTACTAGGTAAGTACCTAACCTACCTACCTAGGTACTTACCTAGGTACCTGGCACCTAATGTCCGGTTTTGGGTCGATGCCTTCTTAATCGCCATGTTTTGACTAGCGGCTCGTGATGGCTTGCGTTCGATGAATCGGATCTTGTGGAAAGCTACTTGAAGAGGCTAGAAAACTGGCTTCCTCAGTTCCATGACTGCCTGGCCCAAGTGACTGCTGACATTATTGGCCAGCTACCTTGTTATCGTGCCAGACTGATCACTGTCAAGTCGGAGTTACGGAGTGAACATTTATTAATCCTGTTAGCAGGTGTTTCGCTCCCAATCCATCGTTAACTGAGCTACTTTGGAGCCTACATGTACCATTCCGTGGAGGACACGAGGCATATATCATTGCACTCCGACGGATTTCTTGTGCCTCTTTTCTTAATCCAGCTAGAAGATAGCTTGGTAGGCTAGATAGTAGCCATGGTAAATCTCTTGGTCAAGTGACGATCGCTGTTTGCGAGGCCCAAATCATGCCTGAGTGCTGCCCTTTTACTTTTTTTCTTTTTTTAAGAAAAAAAAGCAAGGAGAAAAACAAAGGCAATGGGCCCTGTCTCCATGAAGTCTAGTGAACGTCAGAAACATCGACCTTGATTCAAAAATAATCCGAAGCAAAAAATAGAGATGAAAACCGGGTAGTATTTACTACCTACCTAGGTAGGTAAGTACATAGGTAGTCATAGGTCTGGTACGGAGCACTCCGTACAATCCTTTTGAATGTGACAAGGTGCCACTTTCGTACCGAGCAGGGATGTGGACCAATTAGAAATCTTAAATTAAAAGATACATAAGCCTATAAGATATTAATATAAGAATTAAAATGCTTATACTTTTTAAATATATATAAAAATACTTTATATATATTAGGCTATATACCTAATATAAGGTATATAAAAGGTACTGTAAATGAAGTGGGCCCGCTACCTGGCTGGCACCTTATCACATTCAAAGGGATGTACCTAAGATCAAATTGATCAACCCCCTGCCCGCGTCTTTAGGCCCCTGACAGCCCGGGACGACCTGGACCCTGCTCAGACAGCTGGAAAGCATGTAGCGGGCGCTCTTGCGCATGGCCCATGCCGGCGCTGATCGCGGCACTTCAACATCGAATGCTTGCTCTTGCCATACTCAGTTCGGAGCACCCTGCACAATAACCATCCATTGTCCATGCTCTGTGCGCAAGTATCGACTCAAGTAACTAACGATTCCTTACTCCGTACGGAGTACCCGAAACGCAATTTGCATTCAACGGTTGTTGGTCTTTATCCCACCAGACTTGTTTAGCTGGCGCATGGTCCGTCGCCGAACCTGATCCGATGTTGCCTTGAACCCAACACTCTGTCTGGCAGCCCGAGGCCCAATTCGAAGTCTCCTGGCCCAGCTTCTGACCTCGCCCCCAATCAACTTGACCACATTGCTCAAGCACAGCCAGTGAGCGATGCAGCCACGAGTCAGCAAACCAAGGCTCATTCATGGCGAGGAGGTGCTTGAGCCCGTTCTCCCGACTCGATCGTCCAGATTGTGCATGCCGCTCTTCGCGGCGGTCCCGCCAAGGTTGCATACCGGCTCGTTGGTTACGAGAGATTGCAATGCGGGCTGCTTCATGACACCCTGGGCACCAGGCGGAGTTCAATGTTCCTTGCTGGGGGTCACCTCTAGAATTAGAATCCTGGCAAACAACGGGTGACACGAGGGACAACGACCGAGCCTCAACCGTCACCGTCATCGACATCCGCAGCATGTCTCCTCTGGGTTTCCACGAAATTGCTGGGACGAAAGGCAACCCGCCACCGGCAGATGGGAGTAGTATCCCCTCAACTCCGGGTTTTTGCGCAGCCCCTGTTCACTCCAAGTCGACTAACGTTGAAAGGAGTAAGGCTGGCTCTACGGAGTATTGTAGTAGTAATCCCTGGAACACACGGCGCTCACCAAGCGCGTGAGGAGGACAAAATCCTCGCACAACAGAGGCACTACCGTTGACATGTGTGGCTGCATATAACTGTGTTCTGTCTTCACGAGATGTCACCGCCCATGCGCGCCGCCAACACATGACCTGTCATTCCTGATACATTGCTGGCTCCCCCGACTCTTTTGGTGGCATCCACATTCAGAGAACCTATTGTACCAGCCTCCGCTGTCTGGGGTTCATTATTGCCCAAAAATGCTCCTGCCTTCAACTACCGGCATGTCACACAGAGGCCGGGCAGACGACTTGAGTGGCCACTGGTACCTTCGTGCGTCTGCCCTTCATTGGTGGAGTATCTGTATCAGTAGAGAAATACTCCCAAAAGGGGTGAGAGGAAGCTCGAGAATACATGGTAATACTAGGACGGAGTAGTAGCGGTTATGCCACCGAACAAGCTTTGTATCTGCTGCATTTCGTCGGCCAAAACTTCACAACTACGCCTTCGTTTGCCTTTGCCTTTGCGTCTAGTCGAGCCCAGACATGTAAACTGAACCGAACTCGACCCAGAAAGTCACAGCCAACAGAGAGAACTACGAGGAATCTACCGAGGCTCCCTTGCCCCCCGCTGCCTTTCCTTTGACTCCGGATGCTCTACGTCGCCCTTGGTGCTGGCCCTCGTCCGTCGTTGTAGAGCCCTTCCTCTACCTGGCCGCCTTATAGCGATTGCCGGCATTTGTCAAAGAACAAGTGCAGGCCAACATCCTGTGAAGGCTAAACAGTCCGTCGAGAAAAAGAACTCAGAGTCAGCGTTGTTTAATATTCAACATGCTGGTAGCAGGAGCAAGAAGGCCGAAACACTCCTTTGAGCGGAACTCGGCAAGCTCTTCCAACCTCGCAAGGCATCATTGGCGTACAACTGTCAATATGCCATCTATTATCGAACGGCTTCCTCACGAACTTCAGCATATCGTCTTCTCTAACTTGGACTACCAGTCACTCA